GCCACAACCCCGACCTCCTTCAGGTACGCCCCCGGCCCCTCTCTCGTTTCCATGCCCAATATTCTTCAATACCCAATTCCCTGATTTCCTCCGCTTTCTCCGTTTCCCTTTCCCTCACTTCTCTTCTTTTTTAATTAATTGCAATCAAAGTAATCAATTCGAGCCCCTGAATAATGGGGTGGGATCTAGTGGAGCAGCACTTCAAATTTATTTACCAATGAAGATAATAGTAGTGGAGAATAAATATGCAGAAAAAGAAGTTTTGTGTTGAACAATCTAGTTGGGTGGTTTGTTCAAAAATTGAAACTTTTTTATTTTGTTGATGCTGTTGGGCATTGGGCTCCCATGCTTTTGGCGTCTTAGGGAGTTTGGGTGAAGTAATCTGAGAGAAACTCTAGCTACGTGTCGCCTACTCAATAACCCACTTTCAAAAAATCTCAAAAAAAAAAAAAAGATGAAATTTTTATCATGAATTTGGGCAGTTGTTTGTTTCCCTAGAAATTGATTTTCCGTCATGGAAACGCTAAGAAAATGAAACCCTCATCTTGGTCTCCAATGCATGTCCACGAAACCATCGTGATTCATGGGAAAGAAAACCCAAAAACAGATACCCTTTTGAAAAAGACGCTTACTCTAACACATCATAAAGAAAGCCTTAGCCATCCCAATAAATGTTCTTTTCCATTTTGCCCTTTTTTTTTTGACAAATTTAATTAATTAATTTTCAGGTGAAGAAGAGTAACGATGATGCGAATGGAGATCGCGAAGCTGAACTTTCTCAGTTGTTCTCCGAAGAAGATGAAGTAAATTAATTTACTGTTGGATTGTTATTTGCGGCAAAAAAGAAAAAAAAATAATGATTTTGTGAGTAATTGAATTGAATTGAATTGAATTTGATAGGTGAAGATATTTTTTGAGACGTTGGATGAAGAATTGGATAAAGTGAACGAGTTTTACGGAAATAGAGAGAATGAGTTTGTGGAGAGAGGGGACAGTCTGAAGGAGCAGCTCGGAATTCTGCTGGAATTCAAGCGGATTCATGAGGATCGCCGCCGTAAAACTTCGCCGCCGGGAACTTTCTCCCGTTCCTCCTCCTTCTCTCCCCGTCACTCCAATTTTTCCGGTAACGTCCTATAACTCTTTCCTTTTTCAGGGTCGTTTTGATTAGCTAAGTTAATTACGTCACTCCACACTTGCATTTTCCCGCCAATTATTTCTACCTTTTATGCTCCACACGTGGCGTCTCATCATTGGTCTCATTAATTTTTAACTATAAATCAATTGAATATTCATTCGAAAAAAACTTACCTTGTTACGGGTCTCACCTATAATTTTCGACTTTTTGATTGAAGATATATATGAATTGAACTACGTTCACTATATCTCTAATAGTATATAATTAAATAAATGTTGGTTTTTCTTTTATTATTTATTAACTTTCGATATCTCATCCATTCCTATTTTTATCTCTCCCAATCACATCTCTATCTCTTCCATTTTTCTTTCTTATGCAATGATTCACCTTCAATTTTTTTTAAATCTTATGGCACTTTTTAATTCAAATTTACTATATATATATATATTTTATAATTTATTGTATCTTTTTTTACTATGCTTTTCAATACATTTAAAAATATTTTTTTTGAACTTTAAAAATAATATTTGTCATTTCATTTATCTTTTTTCCTCGTATTTTTTAAATACAAAAAGATATATTAAATTGAAAAAAATAAAAAAGACAATAAATAAAAGAGGTATTTGTGATTTTTGAAATGAAAATATAAAACTAGATAAAAAAAAATGGTGAGGCATGACAGAAGCCAGAAAAAGAAAAAGGTAAGAAACTGTAGAGGAGAAACAAAAATAGGAGATATGAATATGAGATATATCGAGATTTATACCGTTGAATCTTCCTTCTTTTGTTCATTCTACTTTTATTCTTTGAAACAAAAATTATGATGTTTTTTTTTCTCCTTAAAATATCTCACTTAATACTTAAACAAATTATTACTTTAATATCTTAAGTTCGGATCTTGTCATCTTGATTTGCCAGTCTTTATCGGCTTCCTAGGTCGAATCTAAATCTACCGCCATTTTTTGTTCGATGGTAAAGTGGGTTCAAGTAACGAGGGTGGCTCCAAAATTCAATTAAATTCGATGTGGAATCTATAAATCCTTTTTATATTTAATTTTAATCTAAAAGTTTATTTTACTTTGGGTCATATAGTTTTTAAATTCTAAACGTAACTTTTGTAATTTAGTTAAATCTCACAAAGATCCATTAAATTAACATTATATAGACTGACTAAATATTTTAGTGAAATCTCATAAAGATTCATTAAATTAACATTATATAGAATTGGGTAAAAGAAACGTATAAATTTTTGGGTAAATAAGAAATCGGTTGTGCAAACAAAAAACTGACATTGACAAGAACAATTTGTGATATTTAATAGGATAAATTAGAGAAAACTAAAAGGCCATGGATTAATTAAGGAATTAAGAAATTTTGCAAAAATTAAAAAAGGAAATTGCGTGGATGGGGATGCAGAGAACACAGAGTCAGGAGAAGTAACGGAGACGGAGGAAGCGATCGCGGCGCTGGAAAGGCACGGGGTGACGTTCGTAAACGGCGGCGTGAGAGGGAAGACGAAGAAGGGGAAGCCGAAGATGGCGCTGCGGTTGGAGATTCCGGCGACGACGCCGACGCGGACGATCTCAGCGGTGATGGGGATGCTGTGGGAGGATCTTATAAACAACCCCAAAAAGGACGCGGCCGGCGACTCCATCAACCGGAAGAAGATCCAGTGGGCCGAGAAGATGATCCGCGGCGCCTTCGTTGAGCTATACAAAGGCCTCGCCCTCCTCAAAACTTTCACTTCCCTCAACATGAAGGCATTTGTAAAGATTCTCAAGAAATTCGACAAGGTACCAAAAATAACAAAAAACAAAATTATACATTTTATTTAATTACCCCATTAATATTTATCTTGGGTAAGAATTTATATTATAAATTAAATTTATCAAATTCATCACCCTCAAACTTTTAAGTGGAATGTTAGTTTGAACTCATCAATCTTGATCTGAATTAAATATATGAAATATCAATTATAAGCTTTATGTCAACGTGACAAATTAGGATTTAATTTTGCTAATATTTGAGTAAATTAATTAAAGAGTGGAACGTAACTGGGACAGGTGGCGAACCAGAAGGCGTCGCCAAGGTATCTTCAAGAGGTGAAGAGATCACCCTTTATGAGCTCCGATAAGGTACGCCTTTAATTTAATTTCTAAGACAACCCACGTTGTTATTAATTCAAATATTATAGTTTTTTAAAATTGAAAATAGTGATTTCCTGTCTGGCATGCAACATAGAATATTATATTAAAAGGTTTAATTTTATAGATGTCCGAAGAAAATGAGATTAGTACGAGTGGTGGGTTTGTAACTTTTTGGTCAAAGAATGGAAATTTGATTAATTAATCTTATTATTGGGAAATTAATGGTGGAATTCATAAAATTTTGAAGGTGGTAAGACTGATGGACGAAGTGGAATCCATATTCACACAGCACTTCGCCAGCAATGACAGGAAAAAGGCAATGAAATATTTGAGGCCTCAGCAGCCTAAAGATTCCCACTTCGTCACCTTCTTTGTTGGTAATTTTATTTTATTCAATCTCCTTCTCACATACATACACACAATATATAGGAGAAATTTCAACATCTATCTTTTTAATAAATTGATGGTCAACAGCTATAAACATACGCAAGGCCCACCATGGTCAAAAGTGTTTTTGTTTTTGTTTTTTGCTTCCTACAGAAATTTGGTAAAGAAATTTGAAAGCAAATTAAAGTGTGATTTTGTTGGTTTCAGGTCTGTTTACAGGTTGCTTCGTGTCATTGTTTATTGTGTACGCAACATTGGCTCATTTGTCTGGTGTCTTTTCTCGTCCAAATGAAGTTTCTTATATGGATGCTGTCTATCCTGTTTTCAGGTGCCTCTAAATTTACATTTATCCCAATTCCCTTCTCCATTTTCCCGACAAAAACTTACCTTTCTTCTTTCTGTCTTCACCTGTTTTACCTCTTTTGCAGCATGTTTGCACTCCTAAGCTTGCACATGTTCATGTACGGTTGCAATTTGTTCACGTGGAAACATGCGAGGATCAATTACAACTTCATTTTCGAGTTTCACTCCAATACTGCCCTCAAGTACCGTGATGCTTTTCTTATATGCACCACCATCATGACTGCTGTGGTTGGAGCTCTGGTCGTTCATTTGATTTTAGGACTCACTGGCTTCTCACCTGCCCAAGTTGACTCCATTCCTGGACTTCTTCTTCTCGTTAGTTCTTCGATCGATCCCCTTTAATTCACGACACATCAGTTACTGGCAGATAAGCCTCTGATGATCACTTTAACTTTCTTCTTCTTCTACAGATTTTTGTTGTCCTTCTCGTATGCCCATTTGACATATTCTACCGCCCGACACGCTACTATTTCATCCGGGTGTTTCGTAACATAATTTTCTCTCCTTTTTACAAGGTAACCGCGACATTGCCTTGTAAGTTGCGGTTTTACATTTACAATGCTAGAGAAGAGAACAGGACATCAGCCTTTTAAATGTTTATATTTTGCAGGTTCTGTTAGTTGACTCTTTCCTGGCAGACCAACTAACAAGCCAGGTATATGATATATATACACATTGAGTGAAAACTTACTCTTGGTGACTTTGCTGCAGCTTCTTAATCACTTTTACTTGTTTATGTTGAAAGATCACTCTGCTGAGGCTCATGGAATCCGCCATCTGCTATTTCTTTGCGGGAACCTTTGGCACGCATCGAAGCGAAATCTGTAAATCTGGGAGATTATACTGGGAGTTGGCTTACCTTATCTCATTTTTGCCTTACTATTGGCGTGCAATGCAGGTGACATCTCCAAACTTCTATAGGTTTCCTTTTTGAATATGGCCAAAAGCAACGACTCTTATAGATATTTTCTTGAACTGACACTGATTTTTCGTACATTCAAGTGTGCAAGAAGATGGTTTGACGACAATGACTTGGACCATTTGGCTAACATGGGCAAGTATGTGTCAGCCATGGTGGCGGCCGGTGCCAGGCTTACATATTCTCAGCAAGACACCCGCTTCTGGTTCATAGTCGTCTTGGTCACTTCCTTTGTAGCCACAGTCTATCAGTTGTACTGGGATTTTGCAAAGGATTGGGGAATTCTCAATCCGAAATCCCGAAATCCATGGCTCCGAGACGAACTCATCTTGAAGAACAAAGGCGTCTACTACCTCTCAATTGTGAGTTTTATCTGCAAATAAGATTCGAAATTTTCTTTAGTACACTACTACGATCAATCAAATCCATACAAGCCGAAGGAGCATTGAAAGTTATTAGTAAATTTACTTGCAGGTACTGAATGTGATCCTAAGAGTTGCTTGGGTGGAGACCGTCTTACAATTGCACAAATTGCACATTAGAAGTGTCGAGTCGAAACTACTAGACTTTCTGTTGGCTTCATTGGAGGTTATTCGACGCGGGCATTGGAATTTCTACAGGTCAGTGAAGCTCAAAGCCATAGAAACAACAGTCTGCAGATTTTAAGCTATGGACTTAATCTTTCATGTTTTGCTTGATAATGACTTGAACCACACATCTCACCATTCTAATCCTCTACCATTTCGCAGATTGGAGAATGAACAGTTAAACAATGTCGGAAAATACAGAGCTGTAAAGACAGTTCCCCTACCATTCCGTGATGCTGACTCCGATGGCTAAGRCTGATCATTCTTGAATGTATGGGGCTGGTCCCTAACAAAGCTCGCATGGAGAGGATGATGGTAGTCAATCATATTATACTGAAGTATAATTTGAGATCTGTCTCATTCATCCAATTGTTCTAATCTACACTTGTGAAGGTACAAAGTGTAATTTCCGACGCATGGTCCCAAGCGACAACATTCTCGCTCGGCACCTCGACACATTGTAATTTGATTGGTATAATGTAATGTAATTCTATTATCTCGAACCGTAAGTAATAATGCTCGTCCCTAGCAAAGAATCAGCTACTCAAGCAGACGAAACTATGCCAAAATCTGTCATGTGTGTTTAAAGTGTACGTGCTCGTGATAACTCCAGAACCTGGTTAGAGAGCTAGCTGTAAAATTGCTATATCCTTAACAACAGAAGTCATGTAGCTTGAAGATTGAAATTGAAAACAAGAACACAAAATTTAAAGGAATAGTGTCTTTCCTCACCTTTCCTTTTGTTCTCTCTCCTTCACTCATAGCAATATTGATGAGGGAAGAGAAGAAAGATACTGAAAAAAATTACAATAAATGGATAAGCCATATTTAACTGCATATCTTGATCCTCTATTCTTCAATTGATTTGTAAATACATCAACACTCTTGTATAAGGTTATAAAGACTACGACCGAGCATGCAGGCATTAAATATTTCAAGCACCTATTTTCTTAACAATGCTGCTAATCTGTTTGAAATACAATAAGCAGTGGATTGGATAGTAATCATAGGATTGACACCAACAGCTGTTGGAAGAACACTAGCATCACAAACAAAGAGACCTTCAGCTTCCCAGCTCTCTCCATTTTCATCGACAGCGCCATCTTTTTCAGAAACTCCCATTTTACAGCTCCCCATCTGATGAGCTGAAGTATAGACATTCCAATTTTCTGTCATTGACAATGGCCCTCCCTCTGGACACACCATATCCAGAAACTCTTCCAATTCCTCCTTCCCAATTCCTTTACATTCGATTCTCTGTCCATCGCTCCTATGTGTACCAACTTCAGTAGCTCCAGCAGCAACCAAAATCCTCAATGACTGTCTCAATCCCACCTTGAGGTTTTCTCTGTCTTCTCCACTCAAGTTATAGTTCACTCTTCCCTCTGACCTTACTACCCCAGATCCCGAATCTCGGACTATCGTTATAAAATGGGCAATTCTCGAATACTTGAGCATTCTTTTCTTATAGTCGAGTCCAGATACCGAAGGACACAAAACAGAGAATGACCCTGGTCCCAATAAAGGAGTCTCAATGATGGTTTTAGGACTTGATTTGGATCCTTCAGATACAACCTTGTGGACTGATGTGATTATTCCACCCTCATAGGATTTGCCCTTCAACCCTGAACTTGACTCCGGAAAGTATCCCCAAGTCATCAAAACAGGGTGCATATGTAGATTTCTCCCAATATGTCGATTCCTCAATCCACTTCTTATCATTAATGGTGGTGTCAAAAGAGCCCCACATGCTGAGATAGTTGCTTTGGCCTTAATTTGAAGCTTCTTGGTAATGTTCTCACTCAAAACTTTTGCAACGACTCCCAAACACTTGCTTTTTCTCATACTCCCAGTTCTGTTTTTTTCCAAAATGAATCTCTCGGCTTTACAATTTGTTATGATCACTGCTCCATGATTCACAGCATCAACCAGCCAAGTACGATCAGTCCCTCGTTTCTCACCTCTTCTACAGCCATAACCACAGGATCCACAATAATGATTGTTCGGAGAATTTCTTGGTACTTTTTCAACTTTAAGCCCCAAATTTTCACACCCTTTTCGAAGTACTTGATTCTGAAATCCTTCTTCTTCACAGTCCTCTGAAACCTCAATTCTACGGCACACAGCGTCCATGGCAATTTGATATTCAGAGCTCCCAAAGAATGGAATCTTGTGGCTCTCCGCCCATTCCTGCAAAACAGCATCCGGGGTTCTGATGCTCGCCGACCAATTAACAGCGGAGCCACCGCCGACCGTTGAACCGGCCATAATTAACATTTTCCCATCATCAGTAGTGAGAATCCCTCCGCCTTCGTATAGCTGATTGAGGGAGGGGCCTTCGATAGATGAATAATCAGAAGCAGTGAAATAGTTCCCTTTCTCAAGAACCACCACTTTCTGGCCGGAACCTGCGAGAATCGCTGCCGCAACGCCTCCACCGCAACCGGATCCGACGACCACCACATCGCATTCGATGGTAAGGGTGTCTTCAGCGACTCTAACACCTTTCTGTAAGAGGGATTGTCGAAAGGACCATAGGGTTTCGTGGTTGGGTTCTATGATTCCCTTCTGGAGAGGCCTCTCGTCGGAGGATTTCGACATATTCTCATCAATGTCCGGCTGATATTTTATGGCTTCCCATCCTGGATTTTCGCCATTAACATCTACCTGTTTAGAGCAACGATTATATCAAGTTTCAGTTTCTTTAAAGATATGTAAAATCCTTCTTAATCCTCTATTTTCATTTGAATTTGAAATCCTCAAGTCTGTTCAGTTTTTTTTTTTTTTTTAACGGAAGAAACTAGTTGAACAGCAATAATTGAGAAGAAAAAAGGAAGAGAGAAGTAAAATTTGATTATGTAAAGGGAGAGATATTATATGCAGATAAAGATTGGATGCCTGCCTTAATACAGCAAACAAATTGAATTGTAATAAACGACCAACTTTGAAAACCAAACACTTTGTAGGTTTTTTTCACAAAAAAGGAAAAGGAAATCTGACGTTTTATTCCCACACCGTACTTCCTACGTAACTTTCTACAGTAAACCAACAAAGAAAAATCCAAAGGCKATTCTCGTAATTTGGTGGACATATACTTTATGGGTCACTYTTAATGCCTAATAAATTCCTTTTGTCAAAGTACAACACTAAAAGTGGGAGGATTTGAACTCAAGATATTCTGATTGGACATAGATTCCTTAATCTATTGAATTAGGTTTAGGTTASTCTAACAAATTCATCTGTTCCCTAAATTTTCSTTAGCATCAGTGTGTTGAATATTAGTGAAGTGGTTYGATATTCATGTCTTTCTCTTGAATTATAAATTTGAAGTATCTTTCCTTTATACATATCATACAATGCTAAAGAAATGATGTTACTAGCTAGATGRAATTTTTTTAAGATAAATTCCTAATCCGAGAATTATTGAACTCAAAAAAGAATTTTGAGGTAAATTTATTAGAGTATTTTATAAGTACAATCTTATGTTAATCCAATTATAGCTYGGAAGATAAGAAAGTTATTCCCACCTTCCATGTGTTGGATTTAAAAATAAAAAAATAAAATCTTTCATGGTATGATTAAAAAGTGCTTTKAGAAACTTTATGATGACTTTTTATTATCTCAACCAAATACTACGACAATTTTGGAAAATAGTTTTAGTAGGATTAATATACATTTCAGCCACCAAAAAACCATCTCAAAGTCACCTTAATCAATATAATCAATTTTATATTTTTGATAACATTAGTTTAACATTTAATCAAAATATATGAATAATTAATTTAACTTTTCAAAAATATATCAAAACATTTTTGTCACTTTTCTATTATATTTCAATAATAGTGAAATTCACAAAAATTGTCCTTTTTTTTTCTCTTACCAAATAACAAAATAGACAAAGTTCAAACAGGCACGTGCTCTGGCTACGACTTTTCTGTTGGGCATGGGTCCTACACCAAATCGTTTGAAATTTGACTTTGATTTTCATTTTGGAATCTCTTTGGAATCTCGTGAATCTTTTTGTACATAACAAAATAATCTTTTTGTATAAAAAAAAACCTTTTAAAATGGTTTTTCTCAAAATATATATATTATTAAATGGTTGGTTTTCAAACAATCCTAAACTTATGGCAAACGACCATCTTTCATAAGATTATAAGATAGATAATTGTAGATAAATAGTTCCTTAAAGAATATATTTTACCATAAAAATAGCATTAAGAAAAAGATAGTTTTGGATAAATAATTTACACATAATAAATAAATTATTTGATTATTGTCAATAAAATATGCATTATTTTGTTTCAAAAGATGCATTAAAAATAACAGTGAAATTGAAGCTCCATTTATTTACCTTGCTGCCCTCTTTGTGGTTATGCATTTAATGAACCTACTTTATATGTCTATCAGTCCAGCAGCTTCACTCACAAGTTAGGTCATAAATCAATACTTTAATAAGTAGGTATTTAGTTGACGTCTCTGTCCTTCTTTATTGCTTTTTCTAAAATTAACAAATTATAGATTTTATTTCAAAGAATACAAATAATTTGATGAAGATTACAACAACATTTCTGAAAAGTTGACAATAAAAATAAAAATTGATATTAATTAAAGAGGTCTTTAATGTAATATTAAGTGCTTAGATAGTAGGGTTTTACTTTGAATTTATCTGAAGTATGCTTGGTTGGTAACTTTATTAATTGGGTTTATAAAGTTCAGGTGTGGAAGTCGGGGTTTATATATATATATATATATATATATATATAAATTTTAGAAAATAGTCTATTCAAATTTATAAATTATAAAAATTAATAAATAGTATAAAATCAGAGATGATTGAGGTTTTTGTATATTAAAATTTGTTTTGATAGGTGGAGATTCAAACTTTTGATAAAAAAAGTAAAAAAAAGATACTGACATGGCTAATTAAATTATGTTTAGATAGACAAAAATATACCTTTTAAAATTTGTGGAACATGATAATTTTTAAAACTAAAAATCTAAGAATCAAAATGTACCTGAAGAACCAAAATAAAAAAATTAAGACGTGAAATTGGTAAATTTTAAAATTTGAAAAAAAAATGATTTTTTTTTTTAAATACTAGTTTGGTTCTGATTTAAAAATCGAGAGACTAAAATGATTATCTAAATACATGGACCAACGGACTAAAATGAACTTTTTTCAGGTATAGACTTAGGAAGTACAAGACCAACACAATAGTATTTTTAAAAAAAAAAAATAAAAAAAAAAAAGGCCCATATAGATTGAAGAAAGGAATTACCCGAGAAAAGAAGATATAGAGGCAAAGAAGTCTGAGAGAAGCAAAAGCGACTCGAATGGGCGTGAAAACCCTATGCTTAAACCATCTCTGCAGAGCTTCCTCTCTCTTCTCCAATGGCATGGCCGAGAAGTTGCAGACGAAAGGCCATTTCTCGCAGAAACAGAGCGATCCGCAAATCAACAACGTCCCCAGCCTCGTCGCCAGAAGCCACAGCATCGCCCTCACCAATATCACGATTTCAATCAATCCTCTCTTCCCCAGCGTCTCCGCAACCTTTTAATTTCAATCCGCAAAACACAAACACTTCATCCATCAGCATCAGCAACGCAACACAACAAAACCGATCATTTAATTAAAAATCGAAGAAGAACAAGAAGAAGAATTCGCCTCCGTTAATCAAACTGACCTCGTCCGGAATCGGAGATTGCGAGCCGGACACCCCGTAAAACGCCTTGACGGCGGCGGCCTCGGCAGTATCGATTTCTCCGGCGTCGGAATCATCGAATGGCAGAGGAGGGAGGACCGTCTCGCAGATGCTGGTCAACGATTGCATCTCCGCCGGAGAGAAGCCATGGCTGAACTTGCCGCTCCTCTTTCCTCTCAACAGAGGATGACACTGCCGCGATCTCCTCATCTGATCTGCAGATAACTGAATGCCTCCGCCGGAAAACCTGACCCCTCTATATATAGAGACGGTTTGGGATCGAAGGGCTAGTTGGTCATTTTCCTTTACTTTCTGTTGTCGATTCATTCGCTCATCATAGGCTCGCTCGGGCCACGTCCGTCATACGGCATGAATTAGCCTTTTGACGCTTTTGCCCTCTCACGTTTCGCACATGAGAAGTAAAATTACAGAATTAGTTTTTTCACTGTTTTGTTTCTCTTTTTTTCAATCATATTTCTAAACCCTAAACCCTAAACCCTTTAATAAATACTAATAATTAGTACTCTTTTAGATTTTAACCATAGAGTAGAACTTACGCACTGTTTTGCTACTGGTACTGCACTGCTGCATATTTCCTTTTAGGTTTACGCGTTAAATAATAAATACTATACTTTGTTATTTCTATCTAGGAAGAAAAAATTAAATAAATAAAGAAAGAATATAAAGTTTAGCTTCTTCTTGCATACTAGGAAGCAGGAAATTACAAGCAGCCTCCATCAACGTCATTAAAAAAAAATTTGATTATTCTTCCTTCTAGTTTAACTTTAGACATTGTAATTTGACATGRTCTAAATTAAAAAAATAATAAAAAATTAGCCGTATACACTTCCTATTTTATTTTAGTAAAAAAGCAAACATTGATGTATCCCAGCTGATAATTTATTATAATATATTAATATTCATGGGTTCTATCTCAAAACTAATTGGTAATGAGAGAAGTAGCCCATAACTATTATAAACCATTGTTAAGTCCATTTTCTTGTCAACGTGGGATCTTTAAACATGCCCCCTCAAGATCGTGGTTCTTTCTGGCTCATCAATCTTGGTTAGATCTCATTTTTGGACCGAATGCTCGTTTGAGCTTTTGGGTTCTAATATCATATCAATATTCATGGGGTTCCATCTCAAAGCCAATTGACAACGAGAGGAACCATTGTTAGATCTCTTTTAATATATATATAAGGTTTTGGAATGGAAAATATTAAGTGTTCCTACCAAAAAAAACTTTAGAAAATATATATTGAAGTAGTAAACATTTAAAGGGAGAAAAATTTTGTTTAAGAAATCCCTAGAAAAGACTATACATATCCTTCTAAAATTAAAGCTATAGAACTCACGCAAGTTGAGAAGAGGGTAGTTAGGAATTAGGAGAGATATCTCAAGAATTTAAGAGAGGCTTGTGGGAAATACTATTATGTTGGGGGAGGGGGGATTCATTAGATTGTTCTTCGATGCTCTACTTTTCTTTTGGCTCGTGAAAAATATGGATATATAATCAATGAGAGCAATTCAACCACTTTTTCTTTCCTTCGATGTGATTCATATAATCTGTGATTACATATTATCTACCATATATAAAGTTTTCTTTGTGGGGACCTGTCTTGAATAGGGCGAGAATTTCTTGATTTAATTAGGTATGAAAATTTTTTCTCCAGAATGGGATTGCATCTGTGTGCCACTTTCGGTCTATTGTCATCTCTATATATGTTTTACTTTTTTTTTGTTCATAAGATATTTTGTTTTTTATATGTTAATGAAATTTATAGTTGCTTATTAAAGTTTAAATCTAGAATGTTTTTTATTTGGGTAAACATGGAAAAATAATATAATTTATTTTTTGAAAAAATTTAAATATTTTTTACTCATGTACTTASCGGAGTGTGCCAATTTTAAGTTTAAATTGTTCATTCTCATCTTATATTTATATATTTACATTCTAGACAATGACATTGGAAAAATAATAATTTTACTTTTACTTTCGAACCTTTAATATTTAAACAATTCAATTAATTATATAAAACGTTACATTATTATTTAAGAATGTAGGATACTTTTTGCCAAAGCGAGCATAGCTTAGCGTAATTGGTATATATCTCCAATCAAGAGGAGGTTGTGAGTTCGATCTCCATCCCCATATGGTACAATATGTGGAGGTGGGGAATTGAACTCACAACCTCTTAGTCGGAGATATATGCTGATTATCGCTGAACTATAATGCTTGCTTTGAGTTCGAATAGTACTCAGCAACCTTGATAAAATTATTTGATTAAAGGATCAAAATAATAAAAAATTATGCACAATGAAATATATCTAACCTATAATTTATAATAGTACGGTAAGAGACCTTTATGAATGTAATTAATTTTGATGTGGTCACTCATAAATAATTAATTTTAATAAATAGAGAGACGCTATGATTTAATTGAATGTTTATGCTACATTTTTCATTAGATGCTAGCACTTAAGTAGTGATTTAAATTGCATCTGTGTTTATTACCATATATGACTTTCATTAAAATGAATATAAATGGTAAATACAAGTTTTTTTTTTAAACCTTATTACTTGTTTGTCSCCTATAAATATGACATCTATTTGTCAATTTCAATTTCAAAGTAATTGAATTAATTAGTTCCTATTTTTTTTTCGAACATGAACATAGTTAAAGGTAATTGACGACAACTTCTTCTACTTGGAGGTTAAAAATTCTCATTCCTCCAATTTGTTGTGCTAAGTTTTTTTTTAATGAAGACAAATGTTAAGTTATGTGGTTGAATTCCTTAAATAATAAAATATTAATTATATTTTCATTCCCTAATAATTCCCTATATATATAGCATAAATTATTACTGTCCATAATTGATAAAAAAAAACACATAAAAATTAGGAATATGAACACTAATGAGTAATAATAAGATTTCTAACTTATTTGAAGAATTATAAAATACTTGTTAATTGAAATAATTTTTTATGAGCCACAATTTTTTTCCGTAAACATTTGTTTGATATTGAAAACTCTACAAAATTGAGATCATGTCATTTTTTTCGAAAGCAATATTTTATTTTTTTACTTACCATATATTGAATTTACCGATCGTAGAAAAAGAAAAGAAAGAAGACGGCTCCAAAAAATTTGTAAAAAACAAATAAATAACTGATCAAATTATTTGATTAAAAAAAGTATGCACAAACAAGAGAAAATATTTTGATTTAACCAGCTCATCTCAGAGAAAAAGATAACCAGAAAAAATAATTTTTAATTAAAAATTTCGATTATGCATTACACGTGTTGAATGACGGTGCATTGTACGTGTCTACACCAGTGTGGCTCATTCCAATCAAAATTTAGAAATTAAAAACAAAAAATCTCTAGCACTTTAATTCTAAAACTAATTTAAAAAGTTGTTATTATTTTGGACCAAATGGTCCTAACTTGAAAAGATATTATTTTCTAGAAAAAATGTCCCTCTATGTTGTATGAATTTATGGTCACTCATAAATTATTTAGCATCATGAGATAGGAAATACATTGTAGTTGAATGAAGTATTTATTTTCGATCTTGATGTTTAGGTAATGAATGATATTTGAGAAATTATTATAAGTTGCTGGAAATTATTTAACAGCTAATATTGTATTTTCTTTAAGAATGGAAATAAGTCAAGTTGACACTGGATGGGCCCGCGAAAACAGGAAATTACAAATGTGGACCAATGCTAGCCAAAAATATTTTCACTAATATTTTTAAACTCGACTCCCAAATAGCCCAAATATCTTCTTGAACTTGGAGTAAAACCTGGCTTGCAACAAATTCAAAAGCAAGTTATTGGAAATTATTCTAATTCCAAGGAGTTATGTCTACCTTGTAGCTGAAGTTTCCAGAAACTTGACAACTTCATCCCTTTTCTGTATGAAAGATAAATCACAGCAACCATTCAAACATAATCTCATTAACCATAAATAGAGAACTATTGCTCTACCATCTTACATAAGAACACTAAAATAAGACACATCTTAAACAACTCTCGAAGACAAACCAAACCAAACAGCATTTGGCTGGCCAGCAACTGAAATTATAATTACCTATGATAATTGTTTCCATGATGCAGGGCGATCCCTTGATATAAGCAGCACTCGAGACGTCGAATAATCGAAGGAAGGCGAATACAAATCATCTGGACCAACAACTTCCCTCACCACTTGGGTGCCTTCACTATCAGCAGAGGAGGATTGTGAGCCTTCATCATTCAAGGCATCAAATACAAACAGCCCCAGTCCACAGACAGCCATGACAATATTTGAATTCCCCCAAACTTGAGTTACTGCTGTATGATGGATGTGTGCATTAGTCTCTGGCAGTGCATAAGTACAGAACAGGCCCTGCTTCCGAATAGAAAACTGATGCACCACTGAAGAAGCAGCCGCAGGCTTTTTCCCTCCTGACCTGACGCTGGAGCAACCAACATACACAGAATCTCCACGAGAGAAGACCGACTGTGCGCCGAGACCGACTTTCGGCAACTTTAGGCCTATTCCAGATGGGCTGCGGAAGTCCAGAACATTTACCGAATCAGAGGTGCAGAATACACCATCGTTTCCTTCTGCTTCTGATGAACTTACTCTGCATATTTCAAATCAAAACTTCTCAGTATAAATGAGGGATAAAAGAAAAACTTATCAGAAGGAAAAACAGGCTGGTGTGTGTGAAAGCCACTTACGGACAGTTTTACTGGATATAACAAGTTTATAGCAAAAGTTTGATTTTCAAAAAGTAATAGGCTATGGATAAATATATATGATTAGATCAAAAAATCATCTTCAAAGGAATTTTAGGCCTTTTCCAAGCAACCATCTAAGCAGCAAAAAGAGCAACAAAAGGATCACAGCACCTTTGCCGAACCCCTCCCCCCAACTCAGCATCTGTGTTGTTAACGTGAAGAGCAGAAACCTTGCGCCCAGGCGAATGAACAGTGAGTAATGCCTGCGCACTCGTGGAAGCAACATCCCATAGAGATATTGCTTCTGTTTCTGCTACAACTATTTTCCCTCTGTTTCTCCACTGCAAGGGACTAGAATAATCCATTGCTGCCACAGGCTTTTGCACTTCCCAGTTCATAATTTCGTCGCTATCACGAACATCAAAAACTTTTACTGTCTTTTGACAGGTAGCAGTTGAAATAATCAGAGGTCCACATGGCTTGTACCACCACTGTTCAGTTTCTGGTACCAGCATATAACTGGGAGCATATCGCTTCTGCACAATGTTATGGGGTAAGGGAGCAAGTGCCGTCCTTGAAGAGGTCATTGCACCCTCAATCTGGAAAGCTCGTACATTTTTGCTGTAAAAATCCCAAGAACAAAATCCTGCATCCATCGTATTCCCAGCTGATGCTGCCACCACATATCTTCCAGAGCAGCCGTCTGCTCCAGGGGCACGTATTATCCAACAGTCTCTCCAGATATTGGGTGAGATTCCTGCCGGGGGCTTGTATACAGCTTTCTCCTAAACAGATGAACATATTAGGTAAAGAATAAATTCCGGCATACATCAAGTAGTCTATACAACAGGGGGATACTCATAAAACCATTTTAGATCAATTATTAGACCGTCATCCATCAAGTTGCACGTGAATTAACCTGGTTTTCCAGGGTCATTCCAAAGAACCGTTAAATATTAGTAAATCATGAGATTATTAAGAAATGAGCAAGCCTTTATTGGAGGCTAAAATGCATACCTCAGTATTAGTGATATCGTAGAATGAGCACGAACCATCATTGTGAGTAAGAAGGACAGCCTCTCCCTCCGACACAAACCATCCACCGGTTGAGGTTTTAATGCCTATTTCATTCATCTGGTATATGCCAGTATCATCCGTCTCCTCTCCAACCAGGCCTCCCTGTTTATTCTCTTGATCATCAAAATCGTCAAGAATCTCGTCGCTTGTGAGAATGACCTCCGCTTCCTGCTTATCCTTGAATTGGGCTGATGAATCTCGCAATCCTGTAGAGGTATTTTCATCCATTCCTTGGACTTCACAGACCTCCAAACCTATTTGTTCGCTTCTCATGGTGACTTTTGTTTGCTCCTTATTCAGGGAAGCCAAAAACTCCAGAGCAATTGGGTTCTCATCAATTGGCATATCTTCAACCTTGACTTCAAGATTAGGTCCGGTTGCGTGGATTTCATTGCTCTGAGAACTACCTGATGTTGATTTCATTGACATCCGATTCCTGAGCAATTTATGATGAGGAAATAGTCTTTCCTCCAATTCCTTGGTGTCTAAACCTTTAACCACAGCTTTAATATCTGCTTCATTAGTCTCATCCTTCGAAACCACTTTGGTATCTCTCTCGTTTGTACTCATTAATCCCACTTTAACACTAGAACCAACTGTACCATCTCCCATCGCTTTCTCAATCCCAGAAATCTTCTCATGAATATCTGAAAGTATCATCTTAGATGAAGCAGTATTATTCAAATCCAACATTTCCTTCGTCTTCTTAATATCTGATGCGATCCTCTTTACCTTACCCTCCAGAAAAGCAAGTTTCTCATGGAGCTTGCTTGGATACTTGTTACCAGCCATACTTGCAGTCCTCTCTCCGCCTATTTGTCCACTCTCGTTAACAATCTCAGAATCCTTCTGCTCGGATTTCTTCGTGGACTCTAAACTAGAGTTAACACCTTGACAATCTGCGCTACTGGACCCAGAAACAAGACCAGGCTTCTCATTTTGTTCTTCGCTAACAATAAAAACCCTTTGCACTTTCTCGGAAACAATTGAACTTTTACCATTGCCATCGCTTCTTAAAGCTTCGTCAATATCTTCCCCGCTATGGCTTCCCAAAACCTTAAACCCAAGTGATTTACCCTCAATTTTCTCCCCATCGGCTGGTTGCTTTACCTCAGAAATCCGAATCTTATTGTCCATATTGGTACGAAGCTTCACATTTTCCTTCAGTTCCCTATAAACCCTTAATCCAGTGAGCGCTCCACCCACCATCACATCCAGATCCTTAACTCCTACTTTTTGTTTATCATTCTCGGAACCTCTAACACTCGAACCCTTCCCCCCACCGGAGACTGTTTGATCATTTCCCCCTACGGAACCTCTCCCTCGATCAACCGAAACCCTCCGATCCCTGCGGGAATCAGCGGAACCTCGAAAAAACTCAGAAGGACTAGAGCTCCTACCTCTGGGGACGGAAGACGTAGACCAGCGAGCACGACTTTCACCATCGCTTGCAGCGATCGCCGCAGCCTTGTTCACCCGCGGCACGGCTCGGATCGAGGGCTTCTGGGCCATCATCGGGACCTTAGACGTGGACCTCGGGTTCTCCTTTCCCGCCGACGAAAATCTGCAGGATGCATCGGAGCTAGATTTTCTACTGGAAGTGGAGACGGGAGTTAGGGGTTTGGAGGAGGCGCATCCGCCGCTGCGATCTCGGAGTCGGCGAGCCGATGGAGCCGACATCGGTGGCGGTGGCGGTGGCGATCGGATCGAATGGGAATAAATATGGATAAATTAATGGGATTCTGCTTGGGAAGGGATTTGTGTTGGCGATTGATTTCAATTTGGAGTGCAGGAATGGAATGTGGAGTGAAAGAGGGATACGATTGTGAATTTTGGGCGGGAAATTGAATCTTTTTTTGAGCTTTTGAATTTAATTTCCTTTCGCTAAACGCTCTGCTTTTGTCTGCAAGCGAGAACATGCTTGTGCCTTTTTTTTTTTTCTTTTGCTTTTTTTTTCTTAGTACGTAATAATAAGTATTCTAAAGTAAATTAATTGTTAATAATTGGGAAAAAATCTTATTAGTTATTTATTATCAAAATTTTCCACGTTAATCCAAATCTTATGGGATAATTTGTCTAAAACGAATGTGGTTCTTTTTTAATTATCAAGTCAGTCGATAAAATACATAAATTATAAATAACTCGATATTCAATATACAAATTCARGTCAATTTTTATGTGTTATTTATTTTAGGATTTTCATCGTTGAAAATTAATAGTAGTGAATATTTCAAAATTTTGATTGTTTAAATTGTAATATTTTATTACGGATGGATCCAAAAAGAAGCCCGAAAAGAAAGCTTGTGTTATTTAATTTTGAGAAAAATAAGTTAATTTAGCCTCCTTTAACAACCATTTTATGTTATTGAAAATTTAACTATTCCAAAGTTGTACCTCTTTGTAGTTTTTTCTTTGGGCTTTTTGCCCCGTTATCCTTCCGAAAAAAAGTTGCATTTACAAATTTAACTTTAACAAATAGATATCCATGAATAAAATGACTATGCACGATGACATGATATTAGGTTAAGTTAAAGTTTATTTTTTCATCTATCCTTGCAAAAAAAAATCATTTTAAAAATTTTGTTTATTTGGACGTATAGTAATTTTGTTTCTTTTAATAARTATAACCAGTCTAATAATTTTGTTTGTCCCATAAATTACACCCAATAACATAACCTAATATGTCACTTACACTTATATTTCAAGTTAAACCAGTCATACCAATGCTATAAATATTTAATAAAGCATATATTATATTTCTTAAGGTTTGGAAGTTTGATCACCACTCTCTGGTAATTTGTTGAGTTTTAAATATAAATAATAATTATTATCATCGAAATCTAATTGAATATTTTATATTTTCTAAATTAGAAAAGAAGAAAATTAAAATGAGTCAAAGTTTTGAATCTACTGCCACATTTGTAATTTCATATCTGATATTCTAAGGAAAAAATAACCTTGACTTACATTTTACATTAAAACCTATTTTATTCATTATTGTTATTTTTTCAACTAATTAAAGCATTGTACATATTGTCCCAAATGTCAGATAATAAAAAATAAAAAAAAATGGAAAATAACATGTATACGACAGATATGATCTACAAAAAGTTTATAATAATAACAACAATTATTTTTTACACATAATTGATTGAAAAGAAGAAGAAAAAGAACTGAAACAAAACAAGGAAGAAAATTTACAAAAATAAGATTAAAAAGAAAGATTATATATAATGGTAAGATCAAGATGCAATCTAGATCTCAATCAGGGTGTTCCACCTGGCATCGCTCGGACCAATCATATTGTCGCACTCGAATCCTATCTGTCCCACCATCTCGAATCTCATGCTCTCGTTTCTCACCTCCATTGATCCTGATCCTGCTTCCAGCCTTCAGAAATCTCATCCCTTCGGATTTCTAGAACATTCTACGAAAACTTGCAAACCATTCAATCGATGGATCATAAAATTTCCTCTGTTTTTCTTTTCTCCCCCACATAATTTTCCCAGGAAACAAACAGTGTCAGCGGCCCTCTCATTTCCAATCAATCAAAATGCCTATGGCTGCTCTAGTGAGCTCTCTCCTTCAGTCTCCAGCCCAGATCTCCCATTTTGATTCTTCTTATGGGTTTTTTTCGCCATCCAGAATCCGTCGGACTGCACCCAATATCGGGCTCAAGAGTTCCCGCCGGCGGCCTCTGCTTTCCGACGACGGCCGACCCAGAAGAAGCTTCTCGCTGAAGTCAGCTTCCGACAATGTTTACTCGGATCCTGCGGCGGCCTCTCCGTCTATTGATGGCGAAGACAAGGCCAACTCTGAGCTTCTTGCATCCTTGAAGCTCAAGCTACTGGTGGGTCTCTTATTCAAAATATTATTCCATTCGCAGATTTGTCTGGTTTTGCCCTCAATCCTCTGTTCCCATTGATTGGTTGGACGCGGGTGTTAAGAGTGATTTAAAGCAAGAGGTTAAAAATGAATATACCATAACCCAGTATAATTTTTGTTGTCCAAGGTTTCGATCTTTAATACTTGAAAGCTGCTCAGACTTGAGATGAAAGAAGTATGCAACATCGCCATATAGATTATTGAATTGTGGGCCAATTTTGAGTCTTTACTTCTTCCTCATCGTCAAGATAGGAAATCCAAAACAATAAGGAGGGTAGCCTCCATATCTATATGTTATGGTTGATGGAGTAAACTCTATTGTCATAATCTCTTGAATCATAATGGCTGCTTCTGTTCTGTTAATGTTTGGCTTTCGTTTTCATGATGCCAGAGTGCAGTTTCAGGGTTAAATAGAGGTCTTGCTGCAAACGAGGATGATTTACAGAAGGCAGATGAGGCTGCCAAAGAGATTGAAGCTGTTGGAGGGCCTGTGGACCTTTCAGTTGATCTTGACAGATTGCAAGGGAGATGGAAACTTATATACAGCAGCGCATTCTCATCTCGTACTTTAGGCGGAAGTCGACCGGGACCTCCCACGGGAAGGCTACTTCCCATTACTCTTGGTCAGGTGCAGTATTTCTTGATTCCATCGTATTTGGTTGTTTCTCAATTGTGCTCTTCTAGAGAATCAGACAGTTCATGTTTTTACTGAATTATATATCAAATCATGGAAACGTTTGAGAACAATGTTCTTCTTTCTTCTAGCTGACTTTCGAATTTTCGTCATTAGGTTTTTCAGCGGATCGACATCATCAGCAAAGATTTTGATAACATAGTGGAGCTTGAGTTAGGTGCTCCATGGCCTTTACCCCCAGCTGAAGTCACTGCAACATTGGCTCACAAGTTTGAAGTCATAGGTTGGTTCTCTATGTTGTTTCCCTTTTGGTTTTACAATTAAGGAGCAACTGCTATGCAACCTACCATTTCTAAACCATAATCATTGTTCTACTGTCTGCTTTTACTGAGATCAGGGTCTGCTAAGATTAAGATAACTTTTGAGAAAACGACTGTTAAAGCAACTGGGAACTTGTCACAGCTTCCACCGTTGGAAATACCTCGGATTCCTGATGCGTTAAGGCCTCCATCTAACACCGGAAGTGGCGATTTTGAAGTCACTTACCTTGACAGTGACACCCGGATCACCAGAGGAGACAGAGGAGAACTCAGGGTGTTTGTTATCTCATAATATTATACTACTGTCATGGTGCATTGCCTTTGCTGTATCCACCTCAAGTTCAAACATCTCATACACGGTATCGCAGTTTTACCATCAACCGTTGTTCATTGACTCTTGGATACCGACTCAAACTCAGAGATCAAGTTCTGTAGCCATAGTTAGGAAGAGGAAAACAGAAAGTCTCCGAATTTTTACATTGTTCACTGTAAGTAGTTTCATTTCCAGCCATTCTGAAATGTAAAGTGGTTAATAGTCCATCCGTCTTTTCCGCTTTGATCGTGACGTTTCAGATATCGAAGCTTTTAAGTTACAAAACATAACTCTAATGATGTTATAAAGCCAAATCCATTGCGGGCTCTTATGACAGCTTAAAGTACTTTTTAAGGCATCCTTGTTGTGTTAGCATACTTGGGTGGAAAAGTGATTTAAGGGAGAGAGTTAGAGAGGGTTTTTTCAGGTGGAAAGAGACTTTTATTACTCAAAGGGATGAAGTGTTCCAACTCCAAGTGCTGCAGCTACAGAAATATGCAACAAATTTGAATATCTAAGTGCTGTTATTGTGACTACAACAGTTCAGTCAATATCAGTGAGTTATGATGATCAGATCATACCACTGTATTGAAAAGGGGTGCAGAATAAGTAGAAATTCAAAATTCAGATTACAAGTGGGACATTCTTGTCAAGAATGAGTGTTGGGTACATGTAACAAAACAACTTTCTTGGTAATAAAATTATAACTGATTACTGAAGCTAAAATCATATCATCTCCAAGGTAACAAAATCTTGTCCTTAATTCGGACAAGGAATCATTTGAAGCAGCAAGCCCAACTAGAATGCCATATTCGTTCCTTGTCTGGAATTCTGCTCATCCCCTCTCTTCGTCAACTGCTTCCAAAGCTGGGAGAGGTATGTCTGTTAGAGAATGGTCTCTTGATCTTGATGATTTAGTTGATCTTGTTGATTCACCACCGTCAGATGACCCCTTAGATTTCCTCCGATTCGAGTGTTTTGGGATGGGATTTTCCGAGCCTGATTCAGTTGAACCACGACGACGCCTTGAACTTCGAGAACTACCTTCCTGGGGAGTGGCGTCGCCTGGAGGGCACGATGAGCGTTGTCGTCTGGCACCCTTCTCAGAGTTCCGCCGAGTAGAAGAAGAGTCTAAGGATGAAGATTCTGTTGAAGTTTGGCGTTTTGACTTTGGAGCTCGACCTGCCTTTTGGACATCTTGCTCTTCAGACTCTGCACAAAATATGACTTCTATTACCAACTTCTATTGCCAAGTTTTAAAAGATACAAAAACACCTAACATTTTGTACCAAATCTCAGTCACCAACCGGAAATATTCAGTACATCTATTAATATAAATTTTCCTGTTATCGACCCGTTAATCTTGCTTAGTCATCAAAATGCAATGAACCAAACAACATTTATAATTATGACATGAATGTAAATAGTCCTTATATACTCATGAACAAGGTAAAATGGTCAACTTATAACAGTTTGCCACCAATGAATGGTGCCTATAAAATATTGAATCCATACAACGCTCGATTGACATTACGTGGCAAAAAAAGAAAGAGTCTATTTATGCACAAGTTTCAAAATGATGAATCATACCTTGGGCGGGGATATTGGCAGAAGAAAGATCAAGTTCCCCAATAGAATTAACCAAATCGCTTGAGTTTTGGGCTCGTGGCGAAGATTTGAACTCGTTCATCTGTGCAAAATTTTGCGACCAGCCACGCAATCCAAATCGATGTTCAAAAAAGAAGATAAAATTTTAAAAAGAAAAAGAAAAATGGATCAGCCCTATGGTTAATTCTTACCCAGCTAGGTGTATTTTGATTACCACCAGCAGATGGACCGTCCCATCCAATGTGAGCAACATGCTTAACGTCAGTTGGAAGGCCAATCTGCATTTCTGGTTCTTTTTCATCTGCACATTTTTCTCAACCAATCGATCAATGTCCTCGCGGAGGAACTCGAAATAAATTGGGGAAAAGAAGGAAGCAGACAACACGTACCAAAAATCTGTGAAATGTATCTTAGTCCTTTTAAGAGGCCCTTTACAGAGGTGCCCATTTTTCAATTAGCTAGTATAAACTCAAAACTTAACTACCCGATCTCGAGAAAAAAAACTCCAACCGCAAAAATCGATGGTCCTACACCTGCGCTTCAAATGCAGAGAAAAGCTGCACGAGAAAATGACCCAAAATTATTCCATAATTCCACCACCTGAATATCGCACGCACAATTGCAATTGAAGAAAGAAGAGAGAGAATTAGAAATACCTTCACCGTATGATTCTGAAAGCTACAAGTAAGTGAAATTGAGGAGGTGGGAGAAGCAGGTTTTGATCGACGGGGGCCGGAGAGGAGAGGGGAGATCGGTGCCGGAGACCAGTCAATCAAAACCTGATTGCTAAAGCGAATAATCAGGATGAATTTACAGAGAGGGAGTGAGTAGAAATCCGAATGGAGAAGGCAGATCCATGAGCTAATCTTAGTGGAGGTTTTCAATGCCTGTTTTGTGAAAGCGCGGGAACAGCGGTTGGGAGGACACTGTACGGCCACCCAGTTTCGCAATATTTTCTCTTGTAATTTTTGGTCACAACTTTTTTTTTTCTTTTAATTAATTATCATTCTTTTTTGGTTCTTCACCCTGGTCTCTGCTCGTTGCTCTTCAGAAACCAGATGGAGCTTTCTGATCCAGACACTTCTTTTTAAATATTTTTAATTGAGATAACTATTTTTAATGTGATTTTCCCAAAACAGTAAAAACAAAAAAAAAAAACTTATTTTTAACATAAACTTGTTTATTCATGGATCTCTCTTTTCTGTTCTTTTCTTTTTTAATCTATTTTTTAAAACTCTTACGAAATTTTAGAAATTGATACTCATTTAGTAATTCCTTTTTTCTAATTTTAATATGCATGCTTATTTACTAATAATTTTCTTTGCTCTGTGATTAGCTTTAACAACACTTTTTCTTCTTTTTGTTTAATTTTAACCAGGACTTAAAAATTAAAGCCATGTTGGATGAGTTAGATGATAAAAAAAAAGTAGTTATCACTAGTTTAATTTAGAAAAGTAAAAAAATAAAAGACAAAAGCATTGTCAAATTATATTTCTATTTTTCTTTTTCAGATTTAACCAATGATTCAAAACGTTTATAAAAATATGAAAAACAGACCAAGAAACACAAACAAGCTTGATCTCCTATAAAATCATAAACCAAATCCTACCACAGTTCTTGCTTCTCATAGTAATCAAAATAATAATTAATCATAGAAAAGTAGAGTATTTATTAAAATTACAACGATAAAGAATATATGGACAATAATTAAGACAGCCCGAATGATAATAAAGAAAGTTTTCCAATAAAGAAATGTCAAAAGTATTTCAAGAGGATTTTACAAGATTAGAATTCCCGTTAAGACATTAATGTTGATAAGCTTGTTGTGATTCGACACACGTAGGCACGTGCAAAATTGAAAAATAAGATTATCAAAGCAAAGAAAATAGAATTAATGTCTAATAGATATGTCTGAACTGAAGGATTTAAAAGCGATTTCAAACAAACGGATGGAGGAAGTAACAATAAAACGAGACGGCCACACTATTTTCAGCCTCTCACGAAGCCTTGAGATCGTCCATGCCAACACTAGCCTGTGAAACAGAGTATTTCATCAGATTTCGGAGACATTTTCCAAACCAAATTAAGACAGTTCAGAGACATTTTAATCTATCGGTTTATTGCTAATGACATATAAAATTCGATGTGAACAAGGAAAATAATGCATRGACTCGGAGATTCAATCCGAAACTAAATTTAAGATCCCCGTAAGCTCAGAAATCTCAGTTAACAAAAGCATAGCCTCATACTATTAGACCTATATTAGTTAGTTGGTTGATCTGTTATAATTCAACTTCTATTTGTAACTGTAATATGATCTAAGTCTATTTATTAGACTGATATTCATTAATGAGTGTGCAGATTTTATTTACTCTCATGGCTTAATACATAGCAAGACTAAGCTAGTTGTATCAAGTTTGAAAGTTTAAATYAGCACTTCAGGAATTTGGGGAATCTTACCAGAAACTTGTGATTCTCCGCGAGGAGAGGTGCAAGATTTGTACAAAACTTCTCTATGTCAACTTCGRCATTGCCGGTGCCTGCTATAATATCCATGAACTTCTTACGATCCGGAGCAAGCTTCATCGCGACCTGTAATGGCCGTATCCAATTAGAATAGCATACATATACTTTCTCATAACCCAAGTCCCGGGATTGAGCTTAACGATATAAAATAACATTCAGTTGGTTCAAAGTTCAAACATTATAGATGTATTTGAAGCGGTAGGCCATGATTCTGTAGCTCGTATATTTTGCTACATGATTTTGTTTTTTGAAAGTGACGTGAACTTTCCAATGTTGAATCATACATCACACCTTGCTCATGAGGGATGAAAGAGTTTTAGACCCAAAAGATGCTGGCAGATCGAGAAATTGCCATCGGACTCCAGAAATAATACTGTAGGAATAGGCTTATGGGGGTTCAACTGAATACTCTAGTGCATCTTTAAGCTCTACTATCGAATTATTAAAAGCCTAAGTGAAAGGAAAATGAAGAACGTGAAAATAAATGCTGCAACAAACAAATTGGAGCAAAAATCATCTCTTATACCAATGAATTTCAAATATAGATCAATGGGGGCATCAGAGTATTACACTGAAACTTGAACTTGCCAGCCAGCCATGCCATTTCTTCAAGGTCTTGCTATAGGATTCTGTACAGGCATGAGCCATTGTCCAATCCTGATGCTCCAGTAAATTGCAAAAAAGTTGTACCAAGAAATCCAATGCTCTGAACAGGATCATAATATGCAAGTAGGATTGAATTAAGTGTCTATCAAATTGATCCAAAATCATTTGAAGGGTTATCTTAGATGACTATATTTCTGTTGTTAAAATGAAATATTTATGCATTCYTTTCTGAAAAAGACAAAAGAGCAATTTGGTTCAGTGATTTACACTCCAGCTGCAAGTAAAAACGCAATGCTTGAATTAATAAGTACAGGGAGTCACAATGACAAGTTATCAGATCAAGATGCTAACTCACAGGTGCAATGCAATAACCAAGAAAGTGCAAGGATACACATCCAGAGGGGGACTGGGGAAAACTGTAGTTCATTCATTTATTTCAGTGAATAGCAAATTATTTTGCATCATTTTGATAATTCCTTTAAAGAATCTCATGGAAGATGGAGAGGCTTCCATCACCAATTAGGTTTTAGTCCTGTAACCTTTAGTGACGAACATGGAACATATTTAAATTTTCACATACTTATGCTAAAAACTTCCTTGATTAACATTGAACATGTAGATCTCTAGATGCACCAGAATCCAAAGGAGACAACAAATTCACAACAGATATTGTCAAACCTTGTCAACCAAAGAAGACCATTCGTGCAACTGGATGATGCTTTTGCAGTTTTAGTTTCAATCTCAGGCTTCACCAAGCTATACAAGTAAAGGAATCCAGATGGGTTGGAAGAATACTTGGCCTCCAATCTCTATAGATACATACAATAAGGTGAAGAAAACGTAATCCCCACAGAATTAAATGGACTATAACAAAAACAGAAGCATGATATGATATTATAAACATGAGGACAGCAAAGGTATGCATTTTGTCTCTCTTTTGGGCATGCAGAAAACACTTGAGGCTTTCTAAAAAGAAAACACACGTATGTACACAAGCTGGATGTATGCTTTATCTTTTTAGATATAATATATTTTTCCTTTCACTACTTTTCCAGCTATGTCTCTCAGAATCTTATTTGGCAAATTCATAAAAAGAAAAGAAATTTAGCTAGCCCTATGTCCAATTATAGTGATGAGTTGCGTACCAAATAAAACAAGATAGACATAAAATTAAGTAAGCAAATGCATATAAGATTCAATGTTTCCAAACAACAGACTACCATAAACGGGCCTCATAGACATTGATATTTTACAAACTTATTTCAAACCGCCAATGAATGTGAAAAGACTATGATGTGTGCATCTTACCACAATGTTACCTCCAATGTCAGTTTTAACAAGTGCCATAGCGGCTCCAAACTTATCTGCAATATAAATAATTGAGACATTAGTTTTAAGATGTCAAGTTGTAAAACTGATCAGTTTGTGGTAACTGAGTGTGAGATTGCAGTTATTGATGCTGAGTTTCAGTAGGGATCCAAATTCAGGATGGAAACAAATGACTTCAATGGTTGCAGAAACCTTAAAAAGACGAATCTAATTACTAGTCCACCAACATAGGAATATTAGCCTACTAACTCCAAAAAGRCAATGATAAAGCGCCAGACGCCAGGAAACTAGACAATAGTAGCAACACCGTCTCTTAATGTTATATAGAACTTAGAAGGTTAAAAAGCAAAAGGGATCGAGAGGTGCACCGATAACAGGCAAAATATGTTTGCACACATCCAAGAAAGGCTTGGTCAAAATGTCCCCTCCTTCAGATTTGACATGCTGAATTCCTTCCAAGACAGGGGAGAACACAGTGGCCTCCATTTGTCGGTTCTGCTGCATCCAAACAAGTTCGTGAATCCCTCACAGAGATCAAACACTTCGAAATTATTAATTTCCAAACGATTCCTTATTCAGATGGACAGAAAAATCGCTCTTCTCATCAAGACCGAAAAAACAGAAGGAATTCAACATGGCCGTAATGCGCAGAGTAATATCAATAATAATATAAATAAATAAATAGAAATGCTGTTCATCGGCATCAAGGCAGTCTACTTGAGTTAAGCTGAAAGTCCATTTGCTCATACGATATGAACTTCCTTCAATTAATTTAACCTTTTGTCGGAAACGAAAATAAACAGAAGAACATAGGGAGGAAATGAGATCAATAGAGAATTTAATCAGATCACAGCGTACAGCCGCACAGAAGCAAGTGCAACGAAGAACTCGACAGATGAAGTAGAGAAATCTGAACTTACAGTGAGAGAAGCTCCTTTGTGTTGTGGTTTTGTGCGGCGTTGAGAGTTCTGATCGAAGAAATGAGAGCTTAATTGTAAAGATCAAGACGGGAGAGAGGGGAAGATATCTGAAATTGTGGGATTCGAGTAGTAACAGAAGTTTTGGGAATCTCTCTCTTCTAATTTTAGGGGTGGTGTTTACGACGCGAGACTAGAATCTCTACTTTTTTTTTTTTTTCCTTCTTCTTTTTCTTCTTATTATTCTTCGAATAAAAATGTATAGAAGTAAAATGGCAAATTAAGTTTTTATTTTTGAATATTAAATTACAAGTTTCGTCATTCCTAAGGGCAAACAAATGGTCGTGAAATATCTGGTTTGTGTCTACTAAATCCTATATTAAATAGCATAAAATAAATATGTATTTTATAATTATATCAAAAAATTCAATTTTTATAAAAATATCATAATTTAAATGGATGTTAAAATTCACCAAATACGAGTTTATGCTATTGGATAAAAGACCAATCTCTTGGTTTGAGGTATATACTAATCACCACTGAACTATATCCACTTTTGTATAATTATAATCGTTGAACAATAAATAAATTCACGTTTGAACTCATATCAATAATTGTCCCAAAGTATAGCAAATTTGATGCAAGTTCGCATGTCTAGTGATATATCAATAGACATTGATAAACATTTATACAGTGATATCAATGACTATTAGTAATATACATCTATCCTACAAAATGGAACATAAAACATATTAAGAAAAGTCAAATTTATGTTATATTTAAAATATATATATATAGTAAAATTTATCTCTCTCTCTCTTTTAATTTTGAATACGATATATGGAGATGGAGGACCGAATTCACAATTTGGAGGTATATGTCAATTCCAACTGCAAAATTTATCTAATTTTAAAATTATATTGAACATTAGATTTTTAATTTTATGTTTAATATTTTATATCTAAGCTCCATTATTTTAGCATTTACACAATAGTTTACTATRTTATTTATAAATTGTCTTAATAGTTGATAGGCAAGCTAATTCATATAAATTCAATTATACGTCTAAATCTCAAAATAGTAATTACCTTGAGCACTCAATTATGTTGAGGTTGGTATAGATTAATATCATAACAACAAAATATTAATTGGTGGATAAATATCCCAATAAAAAGTTTTTATAAATTTTTAAGGAATATTAAAAGACTAAATTTAAAATTAAGGTCAAAATATAAAGGTGAAAATTTGATTTACGCCCATTTCAAATTTTAATAAATAAGCATGAGCACTTGCAATTATTTATGTTATTTATTTTTCGTTTTTTTAGAAATATTATCAAAATTGTATAACTATTTTGAAAATAATGAAAATAATTTTTTTTATTCTCGTTTTTATTTTAAAATATAAATAAAAATATAATTTTAAAATYATTGAATCCATAAATATTGAAACTATGTAATTTTACCCCTTTTTCAATTAAAAAAAGGAGAAACAAGAAAACGAAAACTCTACGAACCAAATAATTCTATCCTCTTTACATCCTCGAATTAATAGAAAAGGTGAGAGTAAAACTAATGCGACGGCAACGGGTAGAGCCGGTTACACTAGCTTGGGAAGTTATGAAGAAGTGGCCAGTGGGTCCATCAGTCATGCGTTGGCCCGCCCGGTAAGTACGCAACGTTATGCCCACTACGCGTTACATTACGTTGCATCTCTCTCTCTCGAGACTTGACCGACCGACAAACCGACTAAATTTTCATTTTAATTACGTCGAATAAAATCATTACTCCCTCGCCTGGTTGTAGTATTTTATTCAATAAACGTGTTTAAAAAAAAAAAAATTTAAGCCGATCTAAGTTGGATGATAATTAACATATATCTCCAACCAAGAAATGGTTAGTTCGATCTCTCACTTCTAAAAAATTTAAATCTAAGTTATTAATGAATATATTTAACATAAGAGAGTGAGATTAAATATATTTTCTCTATTGTACAACATAGGGGTGCTGCTGGTTGGTTGAATATTCATATATATCTTAACCAAGTAAATTATATGAAACTTTATTTGAAGTGCTTTTTAGCGGATTTAGAAATTCATCCACAATTTTGTTTTATCTTTTTGGTGTCTTCACTCAAGTCTCAAGTCTTAGTTTTAAACTATTGTCCACTTTAGTAATAATTCTTGTGACTTTATTTTTTGTTTCACTTAAAAAGTTTACYTATACTTATAGATCTCTTATTTTCTTAGTCGATGTGAAATTTTCTTTGCAATCTTAATATCTTCCTTTCCAAAMGTTGTGATTTGAATTATTGTCAACTTTAAAAGTATATTTAAACTTTTTTTAGTACAACAAATATGGAGTTGAAGGATCGAATTTCCGATAAAACAAGATGACTTGACCATGATTAAAGTAAATTTATACAGTGCACACATAATTTGGGCCAACTCAAGTTGGAATCAAACTGTATTTGGAGAGGACCACAAGAAATTAAAGTAGATAGTATTGTTTTCCAATAAGAAAAGTAGTTATGAAATAAAGTGAAAAAGAAAACAAAAATTTTGAATGGTGGGGAGATGGAAATAAGGGATTGAGAATTATATTCCTAAGAATACAAAAGTTAGGAACCAGTGTAGCTTATGACAGAAAAAACGATTCTTCTTTAATCGAGAATAAGAATAAAAATATTTCATTTCCTTTTTTTATTTATTTGAGTACAACATATGGGTGGGTGTGTGGATGGGTGGAGATTGAACTTTACAACCTTCTGATTGTAAATATATGTCAATTACAAATATACTCACTTTGGCCAACAGATTTATTAAAGAGAAAATAAACTAGAAGATATGTATCATCACCCACAAAATTGGTGATTCGAAATCTCATTCTCACTTAATCAACTAAAAGAAAATTATCTATCTTTTTTTTTTATATCACCTACCATATTTTTTTATCTCTATAGCAAATTTGAATCTCCACCCCTATTAGATGAAATGTTCAACAAATATATATATATATATATATATATATTAAATAATTAGTTTCATGCATTGAAAAAAACTAAAATCAGATTATTATTATTATTATTTTAGAACAACTATCTAAGAATTGTGTGAAAAAGATCTTCTCTCTTTTTTCTTTTATTTTTCTTACCTGTGATTACTTTCTGCAGGCATCATATTCTGCGCACACTATATATCCATGTTGCACATTTTTGTTTGGTATGCAACTTAAGAAGAATCATATGATTCTAAACGAAAGGTTGATAATATTAACCAAGTTTATATATTAGACATATCGTGATAATTAAAGAATCCTTTCAAAAGTACTTTAAAATACTTTTGAAAATTATTTTTTGACGATATGAAAGAGTCAAYTATAACTGTCGAGAGATATAACAAAAACGACTAAGTTACAACTCATCCGAAAAGAATTTATAATCAAGGCTATATATTCCCTAGAAATTATTATTAAGAAGTAATTTTACTCTACTAAAAAATACGAATGATCTAAAAGTTGTATCAAATACATGTAGAAAGGRAAAAGAAAACAATGATCAGACCAAAGATGTGGACTTAGAAATTGGAAGTGTTATTTCAAAGCTCAAATACAAAACTCAATTTACCGTTTAGCAACTATCTTTGTGCTTATCACTTATAAAAATTTGATACTTTTCAATCTTTTGAAAAATATAAAAAATATATATCTTTCTTTTGCATTTTTCTTTTAGAAAAGATAGYGCACACAGGTAAACACTTAAATATTCATGGGAATGGTGTAAAATTAAAGGAGTTATTGGGGTGGGTATTTGATGGAGTTCTTAACAAGCTTCTTGGCAGCAGCATCAGATAAGTTGATTCCACAAATATCAGCCAATCTGATAAGATAGAGTAACACATCAGAAAGTTCTTCCCCAAGATGCTCCTTTTCTGATTCCTCCCAATCTGGCAGCCCTTTCTCCACCTCCCCTCTCCATTGGAATATTTCTGATAGCTCCCCTACTTCTCCTACCTACATAATCATTAATTCATAACACCCTCGTCAAGTTCATTTTTGCACACTTCGACTAATTAATCTCACKTACGTGACAACCATCTTGGTTGTTTGGGTAAATATGATTATGTAAGGTTAAATTTGTAACGTGGAATRGAAAGAGTTACCATAGCAAGGAGAAGGTTTCTAGGGCTGTGATACTTCTCCCAATTCCTGGCCTTGGCGAACTCGTGGAGCTTCAAAGACAGGTCCTTGAGGCTAATGTCCAGCTGCTCGCTCCCTCCCATGGCTGCTGCTGCTTCAATTCACAATAAAGTTTGTAATCGTATATGGGCATTGGGAGAAAGGGAAGCTCTTGGCTTTATAGGAAGAAAAATGGCAATGTGTCTATTAATTAGTAAATTCAGGTTTATTTGGACGACATGAGAAGAAAAAAGCGAAATAACAAGTGGGAAATCAAATGACATGAGATTCCTCCATTATCAATATTCTATTTCTAATGCTTTTATATATACTAGTAAGAAACTCGTGCGCACGTAGAATTTTGTAGTTCTAAATTAAATTAAAATAAATAGTGTTTTTTAAGTTTATAATATTATCATTTTAAAGAAAGAAAGTGATTATATATAAATATAAATTCAAGGTATGCTATTGTTGTAATACAAGAAGATGATGAAAGATTAGCATGAAAAGTAAGTACAAATTTGAAGTGTAAGAAAGATGAAAAAGCACCAACGTGCAAGTTTTTTTTTTAATGAATGAACGTTTTTAATTTACCTATAATTTTCTTGATTATAAATTATTATCTTACATTTTATCTTTGTTAAATTGTGTGACGTTAAATCATTGAGTTTGTCTAGAATGAAAAAGAAAGGTAAGAGTGAGAGAAAGAGTAAACCTTAAAAGGTCCAACCTGATGATATTGAGAGGGATAAAACTTGTTTGTTTGCCCTAACTTTGTAAAGATAATTACAACATTTCACATATATAAATCAAAAGAATCAGTTTAAAAAGTAAATAAATAAAAATCAAACTCATAAGCATTCTTATTATCCAAATTATGAGAATAATCGAATTTTGCTTTATCCCGATTCCATCGACCACTATCTCGACACATCGTACTCTAGAATTTCTTTCAATCTGAACAATGATATATTTGGGGAAGGTGAACTGATGTCATCAACTCAGCTTTAATTTGATTTCTCTTCACTATCAATTCTCCTCTCGATCACCCATATATGCATTGTTGTTGTCGTTGCTAAAGCAAGAGAGTAATTTTCATACCTTCTCACCACTTGGAAAATTTTCCACTTTGTTTCATCCACCACCTCTTGATTATTGGTTGGCATGAGAAAGAGAGGACACATATTTATATATGGATTGAAAGGGGATTAGGAAGATGAAATGATAATTGGAAGGGGGTTAGGAAGATGAAATGATTGGGGGAGGGTATGTGGTAGATGAAAGGAGTTAAAAAAAATCAATGAGAAAAATAAAGTTAACGAAAGAATAATTAAGAGAGAGAAGATTAGTAAGAGAAAATAGGGGAATTTAGAGGGATGAGAACGTGATAGAGAGAAGGGATAAATTGAGAAAGAGAAAATTTGTATTTAAATGACATAATTGTCATCAAAAGAGAAGTGAAGAGAGTTATAATGAGAGGGCAAAAATGGTATATAGAAGTTTTTCCTCATCCCACATTTTATATATACTATAGATTATAACTAAATATAATGCAGAAGTCAAGACGAGCCTAGTTTATTGATATGTATTTCTAATTTAGAGGGTGTGAATTCGATACCACTTAGAAAAAAAACTACTATTTTTAAATTATTTTACTTGTGTCTTTGTTTCAAAAATATCTTTTGAAAAATATATTGCAAAAAAAGGAAAAATAAGAGGTAAATAAGGTGAACACAATGAATAATATTAAAAAAGCTGGATGCGTGTGGTCTGATTCCACCATTTTCAAATTTGCCTTGATAAAATAGAATGCATCTACTTCATCTCTAGATCGGACTCACTTAAACAAAAAGTTGTACTTTCTCTTTTAGAACAACAGGAGATCGAACTTACAATTTATTGGTTGGAGATATATATTAATTATTGTTATGCTCGTTTTGACAACAAAAAACCTACTATATTAATTAAGACGTTTCCCAAAACATTGAAATGGTGAAATTAGTGGTGCACACAAGATGAATTGGGTCAAGTCGGGTTAGAGAATTTAGGTTCATCGATACATTATTCAAGAGATCTAAATTAAAGTGTGCAAATCCCATGTTTATATTTTCAAAGTTAGGTTAGGATGAATCTTCAAATTGCTAACATTTTTAGAATTTTTCTCAATATTTATAAATAAATCCTATTTTGTAGGGAATGAGATCAGCAACTAACTGTTTTTTACAGTTTTGTTAGTATAACCCTTAAGATTAGAGTTTTGAACTCAATCCCTCTGATTTATTTAATGATAAATATTAATTACCATCAAATTAAGTTTAGAAGGTGTCTTTTACAATGCAACATTACTATCGCCCAAGCATGTATTTTAATATTTATGGAATAGTGTATTTTTATTTATACTATGAATTTATATATACACAACTAACATTTCATTTTTCATTTTTCAAYAGGTTCCTCCCGCCGATTCCCAAAAAAAAAATATATATAGGATTTCTCCTTTAAAGTCCTAAATGGGTATCGAACCTCTTTCTAAAAATATTTTCCAATTTCAATAACAAAGGTAAAGTAGGGCATTTGCCTACAAATTATATTTAAAGTTTCAACTCAGATAATATTGCTTAATTGAGTGGAGAATATTACATTATTTTATGTACTGTTTTTTCCTTTCATTTAGCCTCTAGAATCACTGTTGTGATTGTTTTAGATAATTCTTTTGTTATTAAATATTATCATTGATTCTTTTGGGAAAGTTCTTAAAATCGACCTACTTTAAAAATGTTGGACCTTTATGAACAAAGATATAAAGAGGAACAAAGAGAGGGCTAATACCGGAGTATGTGATGCTTTGCTATTTAATATTTAAGTGTCATGGTCTAAATTGGCTACTATCCAGCATATTTGAGCAAGATAGTATTCAAATTTTCTTCTCAATAGCTAGAGTTATATGTTGATTCTATCCGAATTCATTTCACAAACATAAAATAGAGAATTTTTTTTTCTGGAGAGAATCTTAGATTAGAGAATTTATTCTTTATGCCATAATGAAATATAAATAATTCACTACATAAAGTCATAAACCCCATCTAGATACCGTGAAAAATGTGCTACCATGAATTATGCATTGAAGTCGTCGTTCATTTCTATTATAATAAATAGCGTATGATATATATTCTCTTATGAAGGGGCACTTGCAGAAATAGCAAAACCTTTTTTTACGAGAATTTGTAAAAGTACTAAAAGTTCAATCAACATGAAAATATTATATAAAATCTACTTTTCAATTTTGTAAAAATAACAAAATTTAGAGGCTCAATCCAAGTAAAAGAAAATAAAAGTCCAATACAGTATTAATGAAAATAAAACTCCAAATCATAATATACCTCGTATGATTTGAAATATCATTCGTATAACTAATTTGGCTTTGTTTTCTCTTTTATTTATAATGTAATATTGAATTAAGAAAAAAAAAGGAAATCGAAGGCCACAAACCATAACGTTTTAAATTACAAGTACAAATATCAACAAAATAATACTGGAATAAAAGCAAAACTATTGAGGGACTAAAATCGTAATTTCAGAAAGTAACAATATTTAGAAGGAAGCGAAGGATTATTTGGACCCGCTACAAAGAAGAAGAGAAAACCCTAGGCTCGTCGCCCCTCTCTGAGAAACCCTACAGCCTGAAGATGGTGAGCATTCCCGTCCTTCGTTTTTTCTTCTAACAACCACGAATCTACAGCGGGTTGTACAATTTTCTTCTCTAGTCTCTGTTCTTCGAATTGTTCCTGATTTCTGTGTTTTTTTAATTGGTTTTGTAGCCGTTCAAGAGGTACGTTGAGATCGGGAGGGTCGCTCTCGTCAACTACGGCGAAGACTACGGAAAGCTCGTCGTCATTGTCGATGTCATTGACCATAACAGAGTATGCCTCCTCGCTATTACTTGTGATTCTTATCGATGAGTATTAAATTTTAGTTTGAAGTTGTTTCAATCCTCTTGGATATTAGCGAGCCACGGAAAGCAGAAGCTTTTTCTATCTCCCTACTCCTCGTTTCATGCATGCCGCCATCACTATAGATCAATTTCTTATTAATTTGATATTTGCTTCATGGTCTAAACATATACATCTCATAAATTTTCGCTATTTGTCATCTATGAAAATTACTTCTTAGCTTAAAGTTTCAAGTGATATTGTTGAGGTAATCTACGGCATATCTTATTTAATTTCACGTTCATTGAGTAGGTTATTGATTAGCTGTAATTGATCGTTTGTGGGGTTGAGGATGCAAATTATAGCCTATAGATGGTCTGCTTGAACTATTTTTCTTTGACTAATCCTCAACCTACCAAAAGGGACGTTCCGTGGATAGTTCAAGTTTATGGTTGTTTGGAGCTCACATGATATCTTTATCAAAAAAAGGAGCTCACATGATATTAATTGTTTTTTTGTACTTCCCAATTACCATGAATCTACAATGTGGATATATGTCCCGTTGGATGTTTGCGAGGTGTTGATGCTTGTCTCATGGGAAGTATTCTATTTTTCTTCCCAACTGAATGCGATTCTAAAACTGAGAAGGGGATCTGAATGGAATTATTCTGCGTGCATAAGTTTGTTTTTAATCTTATATTTTTTTGTTATTGTCATTTCCCAGTGACTTTGGTTTCTTCAATACTTGATTCGTTGGTCACTTAATCTTTTTCATCAATGTTACCGTATTGCGCTGTGCAGGCTTTGGTGGATGCTCCTGATATGGTCAGATCACAAATGAACTTTAAGAGACTTTCTCTTACTGACATTAAAATTGACATTAAGAGGGTCCCTAGGAAGAAGGAACTCATTGAAGCTATGAGCGCTGCTGGTAGACTTTTTAGCTCATTCCAATTTCCACTTTCAAACACCCAATTCCTTTCTACTTTCCCCTCCTCGGTATTGTTTCTGTTTTCTTCAAGCTTAACCATTGTTTTGATCGTGTCAGATGTCCAGAAAAAGTGGGAGGATAGCTCTTGGGGGAGAAAACTGCTCGTGAAGAAAAGAAGAGCATCACTTAATGATTTTGATAGGTTCAAGCTAATGTTGGCCAAGATAAAGGTCAGTGATGATGTGCTGCAGTCTGTCTTTCTCTTGAGCTATCACTTGATAGAGTTCCAAACCCTTATGAATGTCCAATTCAAATTTCATTTTACTTTATCATTTGACAGAAATATTCTATTGTTTCTCTCGCGTGCTTGATTCATGGCAACTCATGGCATTATCTTTTTGCAGAGAGCTGGATTGGTGAGGCAAGAGCTTGCGAAACTGAAAAAGAGTGAATCTTAGGAGAAGCCCATTTCTTTAGCTTCAAATTTTGTTACAGAATTTTATTTATCTGCTGTGGATTGTTATCCCTTCAGCTTCTCGAGCCCTTGGGAGTTGGGGATTTTTTCTGGAGTGCATGGAATTTTGGACATCAAGTGTAGCGAGTTTTTACCGTGTCTGACTTTTTCACAATGCATCAACATTAGTGGAATTAAAGTATATACCTGAATCTGCTGATGTTTCTCCGCTTAAATGTTAAATCAGATTTTTGTGCCTCTGGATATGCTTTTCGGAATGTCTGCTTCGTTTACTTAACTATTATTTGCTAAGTAAAATACCCTCTACAATTGATACCTTGTTCGGAAATATATGATTGCTTACCAGATCTTGGTGCAATATCAAACACTTACAATCTTCATTCCTCACTTCTATTTGAAGCTTTTCTTCCCTTCTAAATCTTGCTCTCTGTTGACGGGTAGGACTCAAAGCCACGAGCTTTGAGCGAACTCCAGTTAGAAAATTTGCTGGTTTATCTTCTTTAGCCTCAGGATCAAGATGGCAATCATCATGTTCAACTGGGGGGCAGTCCTCATTTGATGTTTAACATTGCTTGCAGAAATGTCGTTCTCCTTACTATTCCTTCATTTGTGGATAATGATTTCTTCTTTATGGTTAAACTTTTATAATTTATTCAACAGGAATCTTATATTTACTTGTACATGTTATTGAAAATGCAAATCTAATTCGTATGATGTAAGATTTCTCTTTAATTCCCTATAGATACAATGACAAAAAGAGTTGAAACAAATTCTTACAATGTTTAGAAATCAAAATAAATTATTTGCAGGCATACAAATGAAAATGAAAGAGATGAAATTGATAGACAATTACTTTTATATATATAGCATTGTGTAAGGTAGTGGATTTTAACTTTCAATTTGAGATAAGTGCCAATGGGTGAACTAAGTTTCAATTTGAGATAAGTGCTCGATAGATATTTGATATTTTTTAAATTCACAGAACTATGACACAAAATTGAAAGTTTAGGGTTATAATAAATAAATAAATAAATTTATGTCTAAATACATCCCTTAATTTTAAAAATATTGAATAGGTCCTTAATACAAAATTGAAAATTTATGATTTATTAGTTACTTTTAAAATTCTAGGACTTATTAGACATAAAATATGGAAATGACCTATTAGACATTCTTTAAAATTTAAATAAAGGCACAAAAAATCGTCACGAGTTCAAATCCCTCCCATTTGTACTAAAAAAATCTTGTAACTTAACCATTATTTTAGAAGGTTTTATTTGATTTTTTTACATTGTAATCTATATAAATAAATAGTATACTAGTATTATATGGTCTGTTAAACATAAAATATATTTAATTAATAACAAATATAAAAAATTTGTATGAATTTTTAAATAAAAAAATTGCAACGAAAATATGAACTTAAATTATTTTTTGAAATATAAACTTGAACTTAAATTATTCAAGAAATGAACTAAAGAACAAAATTTTATTTAACAGAATTATATATAAGAATAATTAAGAGGTTTTTAAATTGTAAAATAAAAGGGATGAATCAGTAGTCAAACTCGAAACTAAAGTGGAGAGTGCGGACGGGGGCCGGGGCCTAAAATCGTAATTTTAGAAGTTATAAACAGTTGGGTTTTGTCATCTAAAGGATTATTTGGATCTACAAGAGAATAAAAAGAAAAACCCTAGTAATAGTATACACATTCGCACTGTATAATCTTCTTTCTTCGTCTCGCCCCTCTGAAGATGGTGAGCATTCTCTCTTCCTCACCACATATCTGCAGATTATGGTTGTTTCTGAAATTATGTGTTCTTTTATTTGTTCTGTAGCCGTTCAAAAGGTACGTTGAGATCGGCAGGGTCGCTCTCGTCAACTATGGCGAAGACTACGGAAAGCTTGTCGTCATTGTGGATGTTATTGACCAGAACAGAGTATGTTTTTTTGATCCATCTTGTTATTTTTAACGACGACGACGACTAGTTTTCAGTTTTACGTCGTTCCAATCCTCTTGGTCATCTGAAAGCCACGGAAAATGGAGCTCTCTGCTTCCTCAATCCTAGTTTTCAGGGACTCGTTTATACTGAATTTGATGTTTGAGTCATGATATAAAGCTTCGCGTTCATGGAGTAGCTCATGCTCGTTCATGGAGGATGCAAGTTGTACTTGATAAATTGTTAGCTTCAACTATTTTTCTTTGACTGATCCTCCCCGGCCAAAAGGAATGTTCGGGGGATAGTTCAGATTTGTGGTTGTGGTCTTGTGAGATCACATGATTTTAACTGTATCTAGTACTTTCCATGAATTTCCAAATGCTGATATATATATAAATGTCACACCGGATATTTGTGAGACGTTGATTCTTGCAGTCTCATGGAACTATGCTTTTCTTTTTTACCCAATCGAATGCGATTCTACAATATCCTTTTTTTTTTTTTTCTGTGTTCAGAGTTTGTTGTTAATTTTGTGTGTGTATATATATATATATATATATATATATATATATTTGTTTTCATATGCTAGCGTCTTAGTTTTAGTTTCTTTGGGACCTGATTAGTTGCTCATTTTATTTTTTTAATGCTACCATATACAGGCTTTGGTGGATGCTCCTGATATGGTCAGATCTCAAATGAACTTTAAGAGACTTTCTCTTACTGACTTTAAAATTGACATTAAGAGGGTCCCCAGGAAGAAGGAACTCATTGAAGCTATGAAGGCTGCTGGTACGCTTTTTAACTTAATTTTCACTTTCAAATACCTATCCCCGCTCCCACCCTCTGCTGTTCTATTTTTTGCTTGAACCTGTTGTTTTACCGTCAGATGTTCAGAAAAAGTGGGAGGATAGCTCTTGGGGGAGAAAACTACTCGTTAAGAAAAGAAGGGCAGCACTTAATGATTTTGATAGGTTCAAGCTAATGTTGGCTAAGATAAAGGTCAGTGATACAATATGTACTTTCTCTCGTTACTCATATGTTTTTGACCTTTTTCTTATGCATCCATGCGGATAAGACTTAAGAGTTCCCAAAGAAGGTTCATTTTACTTTACAATTTATAAGAAACGTTCTATTGTTTCTTTTGCATGCTTGATACTTAACAACTAACTGCTTATGGACCGAGTTTTTATTTATTTATATTTTTTTAAAATTTTGGCAGAAAGCTGGATTGGTGAGGCAAGAGCTTGCGAAGCTTAAAAAGAGTGAATCTTAGGAAGTGCATTTCTTTAGCCTCTAATTTTGTTATCAATTTAAGTAATCAGTTTTGGATCGTTATCCCTTTATTTCCCAAGCCATTTGGAGTTTGGGAATGTTTTGAAGTGTATGGAATTCTGGACGTGGATTGTAGTGAGTTTTTACTTGAATTTTCACGATCTGCCCACATTACTCAAATTAAGTATTTATCTGAATCTGCCGAGTGCTGATGTTTCTCTGCTCATCTGTCAAACTTAGATTTCTGTGCCACTGGATATGGTTTTTGTTTCCTATTTGTTTTTCTGAATTTTAAGTCTGGCATCCCTCGAGTGCCAATGCATTGATGAAGTATTAGAAACAGTTGCTGTGCTACAGAATACAATATTGTTTATCATTGGTACTCCTAAGTAATGATTCAAGCATGGCGTTGTGGCTTAGCCAGCTTCATTTGCTTTAACCTTTTCTAACAGAAGTATCCCCTACAAAGGATTCCTTGTTTTAGAATATATGGTTGCCAACCAAATCTTAATGCAGTAACAAACACTTTTTATCTTCATTCGGTCATTCCTCACTTTTATCAGAAGCTTTTCTAAATCCTGCTCTCTCTGGACGGGTAGGGCTCAAAGCCACGAGCTTTGAGCAAACTCCACTTAGAAAACTTGCTGGTTTCTCTTCATCATCCACAGGTTCAAGTAGACAATCATCCTCTTCAATTGTGGGGCGGTCCCAAAGGTGGGACTTTTTGTCTACAGGAGAGTTGATCTCATTCCCCACTCCTTCCCACTTATGGCTGTCATTTGGTAATGGTGATTTTTCGAATTTGTTTTCCTCTTGTAAATCACTCCATGTGGGACTCATGGTAGAGTATGAACCGAATGATGAAGTTCTTGATGTTCCAAATGAAAAGTTGGGTGAAAAGTTGGGCGAATAGTTGGGTGATAACGTTGATGATGACGATGAAGGTGATGAACTACTTCCAAACCCTTGAATTTCTCTTGTTATTTTCAGAGCCCTCAATCGTGATTCTTTTAAAGTCTGCCCTCCTTTCAGAAGTTGTAATATCTTTTGTGACTTTTTCTGCATGATTTCACCCCAGTTTAACCTATCATATCATTAGAAAATAAATTATTGCTCAAGAAAATTGTACTTTGTACTGATGACGTAGTATGTGCATCTTTGATTTGAATAAAAGTATTTTACCCCCTTTCATCTATATGTTTAAAAGTTCCAAGTTCTTGGATGATATATGAATCACTCTTGAATTCATCTGCAAACTCTTCTGGTCCATGGGTTAACAAGAACTCGAGAAGAACCATTGATTTGTAGGATTGTTTCCATTCCTTCCACTCAATGCTATGCAGCCTGAAGTTTGCAGCCAACAAAGGTGAGATCTTAAGATACAGTTAACTAATCAGCCTCTGTAATTTGTATTACTTGAAGTCATGATTCTCTTGATGTTAATTGTGTCAACTTAACTTACCTATTGTGAAGGACATCAACAATTCTCCAATAATCATCAACCTCAAAGGACGCCTCAGCTATTGTTGTCATTGTTTTAGCATCAGGGCTGCCTGGATCTTTGTTTGTTGCTTCCTCTGCCAACCTTGAGAACAGAGGCAAAAAAAGGACTAATTTCAAATTATATATTATTTTTACAACTACGGGTTTTTGAATCACCCTGATGCATTTTGCATCGATGTTGAAATATTCATGGGTGGGTGGTAGTCACTATGGTTTGAATTAATGATAGTTTTTGTCCCGTCGATGATCAAGTCAATGTACGATTTTTTTTTGATGTTACGGTATTACGCAATCAAACGAACATTTATGTAAAGTTTTGGAGGATAAATTTCTTTGTATGTCAAAAATATGTATCGACAAGAATGAGAAAAGGGCTTACAGTTCTGCCTGGGTAACATCAGTGAAGACCAGCCTTGCAACTTTGAATCTCTCATGCAGGAAAGAAGATGCTTGCTTCTTGAACTGGTCTAGGGACATTCTTCAATCAAACTCCAAAATTAGAAACCAATCTTCAAACTATTATTTCAAAACCTTTCTCAGTTGTTGCAAAAGAAAACATGTCAATGTGTGGATTATATATAAGAGTTATTATTCTATGGGCACCCTTGACTGTAGGTCATAAAATTGATCCAAAGATTATCTAATAATAGAATTTTGACTTGTTTTAGTCCCCAATCTCTCTCTCTCTCTCTCTCTATCTATATTTAGGTGAAAAAGAGAGACCATCCAAATTGAAGTGAACTTCTACAATTTAGTTCTTATTGGTAAAAATATCTAAACATATCGTAAGAGCCTCCCAAGTATTTTAGCCATAACTTTACCTTTCATTTTTTTAATAAATCTACTAATTAGAATACACAATGGCATAGATGTTATTTTATAGATTCCAAAGTCGAATCAATTCGAGCAGTGGTTAAAGATCTTGTTACCATTCTTGAGGTTGGAGGTACCCTCTGACACTTCAAAAAATTAAGCAAAAATTAAGCAAGAAGATTTATTGAAACTCACATTACATTAATAGGTGACTTTAAAGATTATTGATTCAGCGGAAATGATATTTATAATCTCTTTAGTCCAGGATTATAGGACTTTTTTAAATATAACAAATGGAAAATGTAAGGGATTGAATTTTTCCGACTCTAAAGAAGTTAATTATATAGTAACTTAAATGTTGAGCTATGCTCGGATTCATTGGTTTATATTTATCAAATGATATTTTCATACATATATTTTTATTTTTTTTTCCAAAATAATAAATGGTGGAATGGGAGATAGGTGTCTTAACCATGAAATATGCTTAATTTAACGGGTCAAAGTTTCAAAATTAATGAATGACTAGTTTATCACAAGAGATCTCTACTGCAAAAGTTCCTTTGCACTGAAAAAACTATTCATAGTTTTAAAGAATTTACAATTAATAAATTTGAAGAAATGTATATTTATGACATGCACCAAATTTTATGTATTATTTTACTATTTCTCGTACATGCAACTTTACGTTTTTTAAATTCTATTATCCTTATAAGGAAATGTAAATCTACAATAAAAAATATAATTCAGGGAAGTGAAATTTTGGTCGATATGAAATTTAGAAACAATATTTTCTTTAATATCATTGTTTTATTATTTTGGCATGTTATTAAACATTAGGTTCAGAATGAGAATCTCACTTGAATATGAGTTGTGCATGTTACTTGTTAATTTCGTGCACAACTTTAAAACGAGCTACTGAATAGTTTCATAGTACATGTGTAGTTTAATTAAAAAAATTTTGCTATTACTAAACTATATGCATGTCATTTATGCAAATTTATGTTTATTTTATCAATATTGGACCCAAATTCGACTAGAAGATGTGTGATATCAAGGTCCCTTACTCCTTCTCTAGGAGTTGAACGTTCAATTCTTCATCCTTTCCAAAAGTGGCCATCGAAGGAAATTAAGTAACAAAAAATTACATAAAATAACTATTAAATGAGCATGAAAAATGTAAAATTTCTTTTAGTTGGTTTGTATATTTTTCCGTGTCTTATTACAAAGAAAGGAGATAACAAAACTATATCGAAAATTTATATTTTGAATGTGTAATATAATAAAAAAATACAAAAGAAAGGACTAACGAGTATCTTACAAAACGAATAAAACTCGGACTATTGTAAATTACCACTGAACTAATTTCATGAGGTTATAAATACTATCCATATGTAGAATTATTTACCTATTCATTATTTTTCTATAAGACAAATAGATTGAGCAGTTAGTTGTACTTTTAATTCAAAAAATTCATTTAATAATATTTTAAACCTGCATGCATATATATTGAAAATTAATAAAACACAACTGAACACATTGACAGGGGAAAAACTTTTACTTACTTTTATGCTAGTTTTATTCTATTTATACTATTTGTTTGTATAGTAATTAATTAAATAAGTCGATCTTGACTAGGATAACATTAACATAACTTAACAATTAAACATCTTACTTCTTAAGAGATTCATATTGAGACTAAAAAACCCATCTTATTAGTATTTTATTTGAACAACTTTTAACTCCAAAGTAAATTTCTTTCAATTAAGAATGGTTTATGGAAAAAAAAAAACTTTTATTTAATGGAAGACAAACATGATAGTTGATAATCCTTATCATTTCTATTTCTTCCATAAGGCAGAAGAAAAAGAAAAGAAAAGAAAAGAAAAAAAAAAAACTGAAAGCCTTCTTAGTTGTTAGAGACTCAATGTCAAATCCAAGTCCTCTGAGCCATCAGAATTACACTCATGCTCCTCGCTATTAACATCAATCACATCCTGCGGTGGCTGCTGCTCCGCCGTTGGGGTCCCCATCCGCTGTCCCAACTGCCCCGCCGCAAACTGATTCTGTTGACCGTTAATACCGTTGGCGGAGGCGGTCCGCGGCGGCTGTTGGGCCAACAATGGGTGAAGCGGCAGTTGGTGGGCGTGGGCCATGTCAACTGCGGCGCCGGAATATCTTCTCAGAGACGGCGGCTGTCGCGTCTGCGCCAAATAATCGTTAAGGGTCATTTGGGGTTGCCGAGAAGCAGAGGATTGGCCATGGAAATAACTGGTCCACGGCGGCGGCCGGAGCCGAGAAGTTGAGGGCTGAGACGGAGATCTACCAGAAGAAGCAAGTTGATTCTGCAAGAAATGGTAATTATAATGGTGAGTTAGAGCCTCCGAGCCAAAAATCACTTGGCCGCAGAGCCCACAAGGGGCTCCGAAAATTGTGTTCTTCCGGCGATACCGCCGGCCGGAAGTCTCGCCGGAGGTCGGCAACAGCTCCTCGTATGATGGGTTCCAGCCGGATTTGTCAAAATGGGAGGAATTCCAAGGGAAAGACAGAGCAGGAGAGAAGGCCATGATGAGAAAAAACAGAGCAGAGAGAGAAGGTTGAAGCAGAAGGGCCATGGCAGAATATGGCAATGGAGATGATTTTATGGCAGGTTTTTGAGATTGTGAGAACTGAGGATTGCAATTTATAGAGGCATCGGGGAATGGGGGAAGCCTAGTTTCAATTAATTGCATAATTGGAGGAGAGTAACCTGATAAATTGGGCTCGCTTATTTCATGTCACTTAAAAGTTAATGCTCCAACGTAGTCGAAGTCAATCCCTTGATATTCATGGCTCTATGATCGTCTCTCTTGCATCGACACCTTAAAATAAGTTTGCCTCACAACTACACTAAAAAACTAGCTTATAATAGTTCTTGCAAACTTTATAAGCTCACTATATTCATTTACGGGTTGTTGGAGACTATTTATCGCCGCCATCACCTACCACATGTCGACATCGTTGATAATCTTCTACAAGAATAATAAAAAAACTCAATAGCATCTTTTGGATCGATGCAAATGTTGCCAAGCTGGTCTATAAGTTGTTTATCGGCCAACCTACTCTTGGTACAAGCCGACCTAAAAGAACATCCACAGGCGCGAAGGCAACGAGGATGTTTTCCGACAACGCGCCACATTTCTCAGGATGTTGGAGAGTCGTTAGAGTGTTATCAGAAGTTCACATGCACGAAGGCAACGAGGATGTTTTCCGACAACACGCCACATTTCTCAAGATGTTGGAGAGTCGTTAGAGTGTTATCAGAAGTTCTATCGGAGTTCATCTCTATAAATAGAGATCCCCACCTTCCACGTAAGGTAGGCAAAACTATTCTTCTTTGTGAGTAATAGATCAGTCTTAGTACTGACATAACCGTTGGAGTGCTAATCTTGTCTTATAGATACTTCGAATTTCGTAACACTTCAGTCGGGCTTCACAGATTCCGAGCTTGATCAATTTCACGTTCAAAAGTGCATCACTTTAACTTATAATAGTATATGATAAAATACAAAATATTTTTTTTCTTCCCTATAAAACAATGAAAAAAACAAAATTTAAGATTAGAACAGCATATACATATGGCTGGATTACTACCAAACCAACCAGTGAAGTGAATTTCCTAATATCCTCAGAAAAAGCATTCTTCTCAAGCAATCTTTGATATTTGTAACAATTTCAACAAGCAACAGAACTGTTCTCAGCCTGAAAGGTAATATTAGATTTGGTTTACTGTATAAACATAAAAAAGGAATGGTCAAAACAAATGAATAGACAGGAAAAGCCATCTTAGAGTTTCATCAGGGCTCCTCACCTGGAAGATACAATTACAACTGTCTCAAATGTATTAACAACTTCCTAGAATGAAACAGGCACCATTGTAATCAAGAAAGTCTATGGAGGTTTTGTTTCGAACAATGTTTTCAGAAGAAATTTCATTAAATTTTTTAGTGTGGATGAACCGCGCCGACTAATGATCGATACAGATATACATGTTCAATTGATATAAAATACCGTAGAGCTGGGGAATTTTACAGAAGATACATAGGGAGTGGAGTGTTGACCATAAAAGTCACTAGTTACCCAGATTGATCTGTTTTTTCTCTCTTTTTTTTTTCTTTTTCCTTCCTTTTTCATTTCCTCTTGCCAGTTCCAATAGACAACAGCTCAAAGCTCCGGAGTGTCTCATCACGAGCGCCTTTTGTGGTTGCAGAACGGGTAAAAGTTGTCGTTTTGGACTCGAAACCAGGTTGAACCCGCTGGCCTGCAGACAGTCGACTACTTGCTGACACCAGCCGGCTTGATCGGATTTCACTAGGCTCCCCAGAGGAGCTTGGTCGACTGCTTGATAAGACAGGCCTCTTCGAAATGCTTCCATTCCTGTAACTACTTCGACCCCTTTCTGAATCAGGTTGCTGTAGAGGGCGAAGGGGTAAGAAAACATGTCATCTTAGTAAAAGAAGAATAAAGAAAACGGAGCAGCAGAGTAATAGGAACCAAATTCTTAGAGAAGTAAGCAAAATCCAAGTTTACTAAGAGAAACGAAAATTGAAGATTATCGCATGCAGCAGTACCACGTCCTTGGAAGATGGTACATCATCGGATGATCTGTGTCTGGAATGATCGCCATGCAAACCATGCCCACCTGCGTTCCTTCTTCCAAATGCCTCAGCTGCACCAGAGAATCTATCTCGAATATCTTGGCCTACTAGATGACAAGCAAATGGTATATTTGATTTGTTAAAAGTCTACCGTTTCTTCAACTCAATTTGAAGCATAAATTGATAACATGAAGCGAGAGCTCTCAAACCCCAATGCTCCAAACATATTTCTTCCAACAGAAAAAGTATATATATCTCATAGCAGTTCAAAGAACAAAATTGTTTCTCAAAATAATGTTTGCAGTAAACAGCAATGAACTACACCAATTAGCATCTCTATTGCCAGGTTTGGTTTCCTTGTTAGTCTGTTGGGCTGTCTTGCTGTTCCTGTCTCTTGACCAGGTACTTTTCTGGTTTGGTTCTAGTTGTGGGGGTATTGATGCTACATAATTAATGCTGTTTACCATTTTTTGTTTTACATTTTTCCTGTTGAACTTTGTTGTTGTCAGATAAGAATCAATTTCATAAAAAAGAAAAGGGAAGGAAACAGCCTAAAGGTCGGGGGTAGAGATCACCCCACCTGAAAGAACTAATACAAAAAGGCTCTCCAATCGAGGATAACCGAAACAACGCAGAACTCTCTCTCTCTCTCTCTCCCCCCTTCCTATTGTGCACAACCAAAGCTACATCCCTTGTATGCATGCAGATCATTAATATAAAAACATGTTCTAACTGAGCTGGGGGAAATGAAGTTTGACGTAAGAAACGATCTCTCCAAAGCATAGATTAGCTATAGGAGGTAATATACAGCCAATTTCAGCAATTTATAGTTTATCCTATCCTTCCTGGGAAAAGGAACGGACCTGGATGCTTTTCCACTCTTTCAGCAGATGGTCCTGGGGTGAGACCTGGTTTTCCACTGGGCTGTTAAGAAGCAACAATGAAGAAGCATATTAGAAGCAATACAATTTTATTTCCCATCTTTGGTCAACATAAGCATCCAAAAAATTTAAATACAGACTCGTGGTTTTGAACTGGAGCCAATCTGTGGGTATTTCAATATAGTCCAGTCAAATACATAGTCAAATTGATATCCTGCAACAATGACCAGAGTGATGCCGTTAGTTAAACCCCCAGATAGAGTACTAGAAGGATTTTGACATGCACAGACATGCACCTTGTGTGTATGGAATTTAATAGTACAAGGAGAATAATTTTGTACAAACCTTCACGGATGAAAAGGTCTCGGAATAATCTCTTCAGATATGAATAGTCAGGTTTATCTTCAAACCTCAGTGATCGACAATAGTGAAAATAGGACGTAAATTCTGATGGATATGACTTGCAGAGGACCTAGAAAATTTTACCATGTCAAATACGTCCACAGAAAACCTTAAAACAAATTTATTTATAATTTGAGGAACAAACTGGCATATGGCAAGCACACTGGTTGATACAATCACTTGTACTCATCGCTTGTGACTGTCACATTTATATTCTTGTAAAAGTTAATCGGTTAATGTGCCACAGGGAGCGAGTAATAATACCTCTACTGGAGTAAGCATCTTCTTCTCACTGATCTTATCATATTTTTGCTTTTTAGTTCCTGCCTTCAGTCCTTGCCAAGGAAGGCTGACATAAAGATTTATGAATACAGGTCAAAATCTGATGTGTCAAAGAGATATGAGTATGAAAAGCAAGCATTAAGTATTATGTGCAACCTTCCTCTAAGAAAGTACATTAGTACATAGCCCAGCGATTCTAAATCGTCCCTCCTGCTTTGCTCTGCAGACAAACCAAGTAGTTTTGTATTAAATGAATCAAGTTAACAGTAAAAAAGACATCAAATGACAAAATATTTTCTCACCAACTCCAAGATGAGTATTGACACTTGCATAGCGAGCTGTTCCAGTGAGATTTTTATTTTCTCTGTCACAAAAGCAAGTGAGAGAACCCACCAAGGTTAATAAAGCAAACTAAGCATGAAGATCAGTTCAAAACTTCACCATAATATAAGAGGGGAAAATTATCTCATAGATGCAAAATTAGATCAAAAGAGGAGCGTTCAGATCCTATTCAAGATTGTGCTAAGAAAAATCCAAAAGAACACGGATTCCAAACTCATGAAACATTTGTTAGAATGATCTAGTCACTTTATCACTAGATTCATCATTGTTTTTTATAACAATGAGACGTCATGGAGAATCTTAGTTCTCTGAAGGATACAATAAGGTTTTATAAGGCATCTGAAATGATAAATCATTTGCTGACATACATCCACCTACTCTGCCATGGTTGTTCTTAGCTAGGCACGTTTAGTGGACTGAAAACTGAAACTTCAGGACCCAATACAACAGCTAGGAGTGTCAAGATTGGTCAAGGGGAAATGCGGATAAAAGACATGCCAGAGTCACAAAAAGGTAATAGATGATACCTGTATGGTATATGCTTGTGTGTCTGAAGATCCCTATACTTTTTAGCAAGACCATAGTCAATGATGTACACCTGTCCACAAAAACAGGGTAGTTTGATTTATTAAGGTATAAGCTAAAGTAACTAACTTTCTTAATTTTTATAAGAAAAGTAACTAACTTCCAATCAGCAACCCCCATGTCCCTATAAAACACATACAGACGCGTTATTTACTTTAACTTGATAAACACAAGTTCAGAAACGTACGAAGTTTTTCATGACAACTAGAAAAATATCCAACGTGCAAGAACTTAAATTGAAGTCATTTTCTTTATTGCCTTTACATTATGACCTTTAGACAGCAGAAATCACTAACTTTAGGTGGGAATGGGATCCAGATAATATCGGCCACCCTCATGGACTAAACATAAGTACCAACAAATGAAGAAAGAACTAATAAGAAATGACATTTTAGATGACATCATTGACATTCTCAAATATCAAAATTTACACCAACTCTCTCAAGTCCTTGCATATATCGTAGACCCAAATTACCAAAGTGTATGTGCATAAGCATGCAAGGAATAACAGGACTTTTAGAAGGGTTGAGAGTTTCTGGGAGGTGGTTTGGGATCTGGTCAGATATCATGTATCTCTTTGGGCTTTCATGCCCAAAGTTTTTTTAATTACTCCTTAGGTCAGATCTTGCTTGATTAGTGCCCGTTGTTTTAGTTTCTCTTTTTGTTGGGTTGTTTGTTATATGCCCTCCTGTCTTACTTTTATTTATCTTAATGAAAGCTTAGTTTTTCATAAAATTAAATAAATAAATAAAAAAGAAAAGTATTTTGTTAGTTACATCATACATGAAGGGCCACGGTAACCCCATGGCTTGTACTCTTTTGATAAATAAATTGGTGGCTGACCTATTCAATATATTTTTGTTGAGTGGACCACAGTTTTTTCCAACTTGGAAATGGAAATCTTCAATGTAATAGGGACGAAAAAGGAAAAAACTCAAAGGACATATTTAAAAAATAAGAAATTCTGTTTAATGCATTATACCTGATTAGCCTTTCGCCCCAAGCCCATTAGAAAGTTGTCTGGCTTTATGTCACGATGGAGGAACCCCCGTGAATGCATATACTCAACTCTGTTTATCTACAGGAGAGACATAAAAGAATGAGCAGAGCAAAATTATTCAGTAAGATACTACTTGAAAAAGGATTGGCAAATTTACCAACTGATCTGCAAGCATCAAAACTGTCTTCAAAGACAGTTTCCGATTGCAGTAGTTGAACAAGTCTTCCAGGCTTGGCCCAAGGAGATCAATAACCATTATATTGTAATCACCCTCAGCTCCAAACCATTTGAGATGGGGGATCCCCGCTTCATATATAAACAAAGTATATTAGAGAAAAACTAACATAAACTGGATGTAGTTCTCAAAGAGTTTCATTAACATCACTCAGCATAAATGAACTATAAAGAAATCCTACTTCCTCCTTGAAGAAGCATGTACAATTTTGACTCATAGTGAAGCTGAGGGTGCTTGGTCTTTCCGGATTCCTGAGGAAACAAGAAGCTCATAAATGAATCGCCAAAATCTAAAATTTTATCAATGTAGAATATATATCAATGGTGTATAAAGTTATTATGCCACGATGAATGACTTAAGTACCAACCCATAGTAAACACAAAGCATCGGAATTCAGAAAGACAGCAAGATCTTAATGTCTTCTCTTCCCTCTCCCCCACTCTAGGCAGTGAACAGTAAGATGGAAATATCTAAAACGTGTAAATAGCATTGTCCTAAAGAGAAGAAATTCGATAGGCAACCAAAAATAATGGCTTTCATCCTGCCCTTAACTTCTGGAGACAACAACAGTCGAGATGCTAATTTAGTTACTAAAGTTTCCGGCCATATTGCCCAACTGTTAATAATTCGTAGTGTTCACAACAAAATTTTATAAAAGCCCAAAATCAAAATCAAAACTCAAGATATTAGAGGACGATCTTTTCTAAAGTAAAAAAAACAAAATCATTTCTAGTCTTGGGCTCGAGATTTCAGAATTGGTTAGATCGCGATATCAGCGCAAAGGATAAAAACAAAGTCTCCTAATTTCCTAGTAAATAGAAATGGAAGCAATTGAATGACCCACTTACCAGCTTTACAGCCACTTCCTCTCCAGTTTGTACATTTGTACCTGTATAAACCAATCGAAACACCATCAATGTCCGCTCATACAAGCACGTGAATTGCAAAACCAAACGAATAAAAGGCACATGAGCCGCATACCCAAATAAAGTTCGCCAAATGATCCGCTGCCGATCTTCCTTCCGAGCTTAAACTTCCCACCTATAATATGCTCCATGACCTAATTTACTAATCCACCAAGCTCGCCCTTTATATATGTATCAGCTCAAAATTTAGTCCACCATACAAAATGACACAAGTGCTTCCCCGTCGGATAATTCCTTTCCTAATCCAGGCGCCGCTTCAATTCTTCTCAGGAATCAAATCTTCAAATAGAGCCTCTGATCCACAGCTTCCAGCCCGATGGTAATGATCGAAAATTCCATTCAAGCTACAAATCACGCGCAAATACGAACATCTTCCGTAGCCAAAAAGCTTACAATATACATTCCCTACTCAAATATACATACAAATGAAAGTTTACGAATCTCCGCACATCAAAAACCGATTAAAGCGCATGTAATAAGGTAGGGGAAAAAATGCAATTACATCTGGAAAAACGAATTGGAGATCAAAAGGGAGGAGGAAAAGGACATCGTCCTTGAGAATTCGTAGATGAAAACAAGAATGGAACGGAATGGAACTTGCAGTCGCAAAATAATCTAATGCCAAAGATGTTCACGTCAATGTGAACGAAGACAACAACAAAAAGAAAGGGAAGAAGAAGATGAAAAGTAAACAAGGTTCAGAATATATACTGGGATGAGATCTTCGGATCTGAGTTTGGGACAGGGATCAAGTTTCTTCGGAAATTAGAGGGGGGGGAGAAGATTTGGTGGATTTGACGTAGTGAGGAAAAGGAAGCGAGAAAATGAAGGAAAATGGATGAGAAAGTTGGATGATTGAGGAAGGGAACGCGAGGTGATATTGTTTTAATTAATTTTCGCTAATTCATTTTAAACACTATTTATGTTTTATTATAATTTAAGTGCCGATCCGGTGTGGCTGCATGTATTGTTGTACCCTACACTCCCCCATAATCGCTCCAGGAGAAGCCACGTGTCCACTCTACTGACCACGACCGCTAAATCAAATTTTAAAATTTATAATTTTTTGTAATTAGTTGAAATGTAATTCTCCGTTAAACAAAAAAAAAGTTGTAAGGTCGATTTATACGCGTGTAAATTTTTATTAATTACTTCTTTTTTTCTTTTCCATTAATTGCCTAGAAAGAAACTATAAAATACTATTTTCAACGGTAGCCTGNTTTTTCTTTCTTTTCAAAGAACACAACGGTAGCCTAGTTCATAGAGAATGGATCAGAAAAATTAAAATAAAGTACTTTTACTTTCCTTTTATTTTTTTTAATAGAAAAATAAGCTATTTTACTTGGACGGTAATAATTTGACTGAAAAAAAATAATTGATCTCAATCTTAAAAATACGGATATACAAGCATAGCAATTCAAATTTGTCATAAATTATTTATTTTGATTACAGTTTTTTTTTTATCTTCGACAATCATGTCTGTGTAGTAATGTGTGTTTTTATTTTGATTTACTGAAAAATAAAATTATGTTAAAAAATTTTAAAAGGTAGTAATAAAAATTTTATTTTTTTATTTACAACTAATAAAAGGTTGATGTCTCTCTAATTTAAAATTTCAAATTGTGTAACCTTATCACAACTACAACTTAATAGTTAAGTTATTAATATCACCTTTCAAAGTTCATAGACTGAAGTTTCAATTTGAAATAAAAGAAAGTAAATTATAATTGTAAAGAAATAAAAACATGAACATATTAACCTGCGTTGAAATTTAAATTGGAAATTAATATTTGCTGCCTTTTAAGTGTAAATAATAGGGAGTGGTCAGAGGTTGTGTACTATGTTGTTAGAGCATCAATAAATAAATTGTAATGATTTGAAAAATGAAATGATTAATATTGCATAAGCTTAATGATATAAAAAGGAAATGAGAGAAAAATTGAATTAAAAGGACAGTGGTTGAAAGGAAAGCATATGCTTTTCCTATTTTAAAGGAATGTATGAAAGAGTCAATCCACCATCTTAACCAATTTACTTGGACTCATGTTAGATAGAAGCCTATAAATAATTATTAGATAAGAGATCATTACTGGCGCGGATAATTCAATTTAAATAATTGCCAGATGATCAGATTTTTTTTTTTTAATTTATCTTTGACTTTATGATTATTTTATTAAAAAGAAGATAAAAAAAGTGATTTGATTGAATGATTAAGACATCGATACAAAAAAAATGAAAAAACACTCCATTTTATTTTGTTTATATATATCTGATTTTGATTATTTTCGACAATGGAGAGATTGAAAATTAGTATCCTTTTACGGTAAGACAAAACTATATCATGCCATAGTAAATAATTGTCATTCAAATTAAAATTGATATCTTTTAAAGGAAAATGAACAGTGTTTCTCCATCAAACCATATTTTAATATAAAAACGGAGGTTAAGGGATGATTGAACTAAAAAGCAAGGGAAGAAAAAAAAGGAAAAAAATTTAAACAAGTCAGTATACATTTAGAAACAACAAAAACAAATTTCTTGTTTCTTTTTCTTGTTTCCAAGTTGTTCTAACATGAGTAAAAATTTTGTTTTATCATTTTTGAATCTAAGAGTGTTGAGATCAAGAAGAAACGAGAATGTTACCAAACGGAGCCTGAAGTTTAGAATTTGAAAAATGGAATCCATAGAGCCAGAATACCTAAACTTGGACTTATGGTAGATATTATGAATGGTTTGAAACTAAAAACCAAGAAAGTTGCATATGCAGTGATGATGCAGGAGTCAAAGGCAGCATGTGAAAGTTAAGGGGCCGGAGAGTGTTGGTCCCTCCCTCGCAGCAGAATCCTAAGAAATGCTATAATACACTACACCCCTATCAAAACCTTATGACAGACAAAAAAAGCATTCTCAATTTTCACAACAGAAATATGAATGTAAGAACCAAAAAAAAAAAAACAAAAAAAACAAAACACAGAGGAAATTTTGATATCAATCATAGAGGGAGAAGAAGGCAAACTGCCTTTATGTAACTTACGTTGAACCTGCTCTAGATAAATCGCTATTGATCTCAAAATTTTATTTACATGAAAATGAGTGTTGAACATTTGTCACCGTAACCTATAGACTATAGTATGGATTTCGAAATTAATGGTTAGTCATCCAATAACCTATGCAACAAGAGGAAAAAAGAAACACTCAAGAGTTATAACTAACATCGATATAGTGTTCATTGAGGTGTCTCCAACACTCAATTAGATGTTGATAACAACGATGAGTCGAATAAGTGTTCAATTATTGCTAAATGAACTTGTAAGTAAGATTTCTTATCAAGTTGAGAGTCCTAAGAGTCAATTTGATACAAGAATCACGATTGAAATGAAATTCTAATAGAAAAGTTCGAAATAAGATAGATTCATAATGATAAAATTATGAGTTGAGGAAAGTCTATTGAGTGGCATATGTCGAGTATACATCTGTGGCTTTAGCCTAAAAGGTTGTCTATGAATCTATGATAGATATGTTTGAGTTGAAAGGAACATGCGAGTGATATCGGCCAAAATTTTGGTCCAACTGTGGTGTGGATAGCCATGCCGACAAAATTTGCTCATATATGTGGTTAGTACTTTTCGGTTTAGTAGTGCATTAACAGTCCAAAACATTCTAACAACTTGCATAGTAAGCATGGAAATATCTGTTGCAGTAACAAATTTTCATTTTATTATATTATTCCTAAGGATGGTTTGGGGTATATTCTCAGCCAGTTTGATAGTGATGAAAACTAGGATGGACAAGGGTATTTAGCTCACTTTAATTGATCAAAAACCTCTCGTGAAGTCTCAAATTAAGGATAGAATCAGATCCTCTCCAACTTTAAGAGAATCAAACAATAAGTTAATTTCTAGGAGCCTACAAGATTCTATACTTCTATTATCCAATATCCTCGAGTTATTGCAATTTCCTGACATGATAAATTAAATACGAAGAGCCTCAAAGAAATCTGAAGCGTACCTTTTTCTGACTGGGAGCATGTGTACTTGCATTTTCCAGAGCATGAACCGTAGCTTTTGTTGGTGAAGGGGAAACTATGAAACCAATGGGACATTTGATGATGATCAAATTGTCACGGACTCAATGCTGGACCCACATGTCCTCTCATTGACCCTTCCTTTGGCTGGACACTGCTTCCTTTTTGTAGAGTCACACCAGAGAACAGATGGGCAAGAGCCTGAGATTAGGAGAGACACCCAATATCTTCATCAAGTTTAAGTTGGAGGCAGTTCCATTAGCAAGTTGCTTGATGGCTCTACGCCTTTGTTCATCAATGCCATGCTGCACATGGAAAATTTTCATCATCAAGAATCAAATGGACAATGGAGCCCACTTGTATTAATTAGCACACAACACCTGTCACATAATTTCGTTGCGGTCAAGTAATCTCAGTAGGTACACATTAATTCCTGAAATAGTTAAATCGACTGATCATGATTATAAACTGACTGGGCCAAATCCAGCATCTATAGCTCTCAAATTAAATTCATGGTCTTGTCAAATAAAATCAATTCATGGTTACGACAGAGCACAGAGTCTTTAGTTGTAGATACAGAAACTAATTCTTACTCAGGCTGGAGCATTACATGAGAAAATAATTCATACTTCCCGTTCATCTCTCCTTAGCAAAACATAGAGTTCGATTACAAAAGGAGATTCGTCAACCCAACATAGGTCCAGAGTTTTACAATTTCTAATAACAACCCAATAAGAATCTCAATCATCTTCCCTTTCTGGAGGAAGGCCGCAAGGTAACAGCATTTTCTGCAAAAACAAAAACAAAACAAAAAAATCTTAACATTCTGCATCTTATTAAGTTGAAACGGAATCAAGGAGGAACTATGATGAAATTTGCCATCCCTCGTTAAGAAAGAAATTTAGTTACATGATGGGGCACAACCCCACATTTCGAATGCAGAATGACCCATTATTCATGACAACTCACAGCATGAAGAATGAAATTACTTGGAATACTGCTCAAGCGAAGTTAAAAATCCATGGTTAAGTTACAATTTTGATCCCTCAATTTGAGAGTTGTGTAAATTACAAAATTGATATCGAAATTTAAGAGGGGTGTGTAATACATCCCTAAACTTTAATAATTGTCTAATAAACCCTTGTACTTCCAATTTTGTGTCAACGGATTCTTGAACTTAAAAAATGTCTCATAAGTCGGAGAACTATTATACACAAAATTGAAATTTTAGAAACCTATAAATTCAATGATCTATTAGACACAACATTAATTAATAGTTTGACGACCTATTAGACATAACCCTTAAACTGTCAAGGACCAAACTTATGATTTAACCAAAATTCATAAGTGGTACTGGAAAACTAAAAATTAAAAAATCGGAAGGAATAATTCACCCAATAGTCAAATTACTAGGACTTGAACCTCAAAAAGCACATTATATTGTTGGACGGCAAGTGAAGGTAATAATGGAAAAACTCGAAGTATAATGAATGTAGGCAGAAACCTCAGAAATGGTTGGCTCAGAAAAAGAAAAAGAAAAACTGGCTATTGCCAACAAAATTTATTGGAACCTATATTTTCTCTCTCTCTCTTTCTCTCTTTCTCTCTTTCTCTCTCGCTTTATTTCTATTTTCGTTTGTTTGGGGTTGGGAGGAAGGGTCACCCATAAGCCTGTAAACAGGAAAGTAAAGACAAACGTAGAAGAATTACTTAACCCGAACATGACAAGCATGGACATTGGCGATTTAAAACAATAAAAGAAAAAATAAATATTCGCTGTACACCTGGAATGGTTCTTCAAACCAAAATAAATATTTTGGGGGAAAAAACTAAGAAGGGGAAGCTTGGCAGGGAAAAGAGAAAGACAATACACCGACCTGCATAAAATTGTAGCGTTCCCTTCCAATAGATTCATTTTCTGCTATGGCGAAGTATGCTAGAATGGGGTAATGTCCAACATAAGATGCATAGCTATCACGCTGAATGTTCACGGCCCATTCACTGTACGCATTGAGATGTGAACTGAGATTTGAAAACTACTATGCAAAGCAATATAAGATCAAAAATCCAGAGGAATAAGAAAACTAACAATCTACTTAAATCAGCATGCCCAGTTCCCACATATTTAGCCTGAAGGTGCTCAAGCTGAGAATTGATGTTAAATCTATCACTAGCCTGCATTGAACATCAGAAACCAAAATTAGCGCCCATCTAAAGCAACCTCAAGCAAAGCCAAGAAGCCAAATATTTTAAAAACTGGATGACTGAAGAGAGGTTTCGAGTCCACACATTAAAAACCATCGAGTGGCAGGGTTAAATAAACTAAGAACTCAGATTGTCTACTCAATATATTATCATTCCCATCCTTGGTCGTTCAATTCAAGCAGAGGTAATTTGCATCAAAGTAAAATAACTCCGATTCACCATGGCAACTAAATAAATAAATTTAAACCCAATAAGATACATCTCTTTTCATTTCTTCATGTGCTAAATGGCTGATTTAATTCCAGGAAGAAACGCGATCAAGAAACCTCCGATCAACTAAATGGAACGGTCGAGTATTAAGTACAAACAAACTTATATTTTCATCTTGCAATCAGTTCTAGGGTTTTGGAATTAGTGCTGTGATGAATGAAAAACAATAAAATATAACAGTACAAAAGTAGAGGAGAGAGCAAATAAGAGATTTACGGTTGCAGTGCTAACCTGCATGTTCGATTTGGGACAGACGTAACAGAAGCGACGAACAAGAGAAATGGCGCGAGCTCAAGGTCTGGCCTCTGGCGCGGTCAAATCGTAATGAGGAAACTTATACTCATTGATGCCGTCCAATAAAACGACAAGTCGTCCCTGACTTCGGCTTTCGCCTTTTTTTTTCCCTCTTTCTTTTTTGTTTTATTTATTTATTTATTTATTTTTATTATTTTTACTTTTTTTCATTTTTTGGTCCTGGCCCTAGAAAATTTAATCATGTGTGAACTGTTAGGAAAACTTCCGGGGTGAATTTTTATTTTTATGGATTTTTCTTTAGGGAAAAAAAAAGATTAAAAAAAAGCCACTCTTAGTTGTACTATTAGGAATGGTTACGACTATTTACCTTTTGATTTTAACAATTTTTCCTTCGAATTGTCGAAATCATACTATCATTTAGGGAATGTCAATTGGTTTTAATATTTACAAAATGGTATACTTTTTAAACTTTTAACTAATGATTACTATTTCGAAGCAAATAATACGTTTTATCAAATCTATAAATTAATATTAATACTTTTAGTAAAAAACTTAAGCTAACATCTTTGTGTTTACTCTTTGTCTTTTGGTATTTTTTTGATTTAGCCTATATTATTTATGAAGCTTTAGTGATAAACGTTAAAATTGGTTGATGATAAATTTATATGACATAAGTGAATTGACATAATTTTAGAGGAGGAAAAAATTCGGCTAAGAAATTAAATTTTTAAAAAATGAGTAGTAATTCCGAATCTAAGTTTTTACAAATTCACAGACTATTATACCACGAAAGTTTATCATTAATCGATTTTAATATTTATCAATGTTGAGAGGTTAAAATGAAAAATGTTAAAACGTATTGAATTAAATTTGTAAAATTATATTATTAGATAATGTTATTTGAATTATTATTAGATTTTGATTAGGATATACTTTAGAATTAGATTTTCTATTTGAATTATGACAATGAATTATATTAATATAAATAGTCAACATGAACATAGCTCAACGGTAATTAACATATTCTCATTTTAAACATTCAAACCTCATACTCCCAATCTTATTTTATTTTTTAAAACATCGAGACCCCTATTTGTTGTACTAAAAAGATTATATTAGTATAAATAGATTATTAGATTTCCATTCGAAATAATTCAGTTCAATGAAATTATATTTGTTATTTTCTCTATTTTCTTTACTCTTTTAGAATTAACAAAATTACATTCTTTTAAATAACAAGAACTAAATTAAAAAAAAAAAAAAAAAACCTTCGGAAATTTTAAACATACCTTTGCTAAAACTCTAATCTTACCCATTGGAATATTGGGCCTTAAGATGGACCCAATACCAAAACATCGTTTTGAGATGTGACAACATTCCGGTCCTGTTATGGGCCCAAAGAAACCGAAAGCCAGAGAGAGACGGTGGGGGAAAAAAGTCCAAAAACGGTAACTGAAAAAGCTCTCCGACACGACAAGGGTTTTGTTTTTGTAACGTCTAAATCGAGGGATGATGTGACTTGGACGGTCAAGGATCTGCCACGTGGAAATATATGAGGACGTCATAACATGCACAAGAGCCGAGTAACTAAACTATTGGAGTACCATACTCTATTCCATTTACATAATAAATAGAAAAAATTGATCCCAAATCATTTTTAATACATTGTTGATGTGACAAACAGTAAATTAAATGGAGTAGGGTACTCACGTAATATAAAAAATGATCCCGACAATACCTGCATGATCGACCTGAATGATGGGGCTGCACTGTGCAAGGTCCACGCGACAGAGACTGTGGGACCCAACTTGAAATATGGTGCATGCTAGCTAAAATCTAGCATGTGACTGAAGCGCGTGGAATTCTCCTTTTTTTTGTTTCTAAATTTTTAGAAACAATTGTTCCAATTTCTCGTTTTTATATTTAAGAAACGGTTTTGAAATTGCATAAGGATATTGTAAATAATAAAATCAAATTTGTTGTTTTTATTTATGTTTTCAATTTGTTCCAAAATATAAATCAAAACATTATTTTATTATTGCTGATTTAAATATATAATAAATATTATAAAATAAATATAATATAAAACTATAATAATTAAATTTCAAATAAAACTTCAACTTTTTAATTTAAAAATTTTTAAAACGAAAAACAATAAATAATCACGAAATATGCTTCGATTTATGTTTTATTAAAAAATTAAAAAACAAAAAATAAGAAACAGTCACCCCATTACAGTTCTATTTTAATTTATTACAAAAGAGAAAAATAGAAAAACCAACATTTGTTTCTTCATTTTGTATTTTTATTTATTTTTTAATTTTAATTATTTTATATACTAATTTCTATCCTTCAATATATTTTTTTTTAAATACTCATTGAACGTGCCCCATTGATTCTGTCAAAATCTTGGTAACTCATGGTTACCAAGTCGATTTTTTTTTCTTTTTTCTTTTTCCTGTTTCTGTTTGATAACCCTTCAAAGATTTTCATTCTCTATTTCTTATTTAATACTTTTTTTATATTTGTTTAGGCAAGAAAAGGGAAGTGTGCATTTAGCTATCTTTTTCTTTTTTAATGAATCGCTTATTCAAACGTATAACATGTTTCCTAGGAATCTTTATTTTCTAAAGCAATCAAATTTACAATTTTATTTCATAATTGTTTTTTAAAGTTTACCCAACATAGTATGTAACGTAAAACCTGAAAATGAAGCAAAAAAAGAAGAGACAAAGTTGTTGACAATAATTGCCTTTTTACTTCAAATTTTAAAATCTAAAAAAGTAAGAGCTATTTGGGGTACTCTCTAAAATAAAGAGTTCTACTTTTCGTTAGAATTAAACTAGAATAATATGTAAAAATCATTATTCTCTCTATTTCTCTTTAATTCCTAATCAGGTCAAAGTAAAAAATAGGATACTGTCTCTCTTTTTTCAGTTAAATCCTTGATGAAACAGTTTTTAGATTTAGAGCCTCTAACTTGCCAAAATTTGCCGACTGGGGCCTCAAGAATATCTATGATAAGCTAATGGTTAGTAATAATATGTAATAAAAGAACATTGCCTCTCAGAACCAAACTTCCATTCCAGGTATGAGCATGATTGTCTGATGAAAAAACTAATGGATAATGTGATAAATTGTATTAAAAATAAATTACCTCTACTGTCCACACAATCAGATAGAAAACATTGGTCTATATATGTTGCAAAATATATAAACAGGAACTGTACATTTAAAGAGTTTACTCACAGTATTAACTCGCCGTTCCGTGGACTCATACAGCATACAATCTGACAACCTGGTCGATTTTAGCACGACAAACTGGGCAGCCCCATTTCTTGGATTTGATCTCGGTCAAACAGTTCATGCACCCGGCCATATGTCCACAGGGAATGCAGGCTCCTTCAACGGGAGCATCCAAACATATAACACATGATGAAGAACTCGCTTCCTCTTTTCCTTCACCCGCTCCGGACTGAACGTTCTGAGCAGCTGTAGATGACAAGTCGATTGGGCTTGAATCAATCGAAGGATAGTGAATTGCACCATCATCCAGAATCTCATCTGCAGCTGCCGATGGAGCTGAAGGTACTGCATCTGGAGGGATGCTGTTCGCCTGGATTTCAGGATGTTCGTTTGAATTGCTGCTCTGGCCAGCTTCATGCACTTCCGACACATTTGTGCCTAATTTTATAGAATGTGTTGTTGGTGCAACTGTACCGATATGGCTGCTCGTTATTGCATTGGAGGTACTTCCTCCAGAACTTGGATTGAGATCAGGAAAGGGTGGTCTCCCTTGGTTAGCTGACTGGATGGAAGCATTAATCGCCATGGCTAGTTCAACATCTTCTGTGGCTGGTGGTGCAGTTGCCGAAGCACCCGAACCCTGGTTACCATGCATAAATGCAGGGTGCATCATCTGAAATATTACAAAAACGTCAAGGTTATCGAAATTCCTACTACAATGTAATGTAGGCTACCTAGTATCAGGGAAACTAACCCGTAAACCGACCCATTTCCCTTCTTTGTTATGGAAATATTGGGAAAAAAAATATTTCAAGAGCTTGCTTAGTCTAAATTCAAGCTCGCTTGGGCAGGAAATTAAAAAAAAAATGAAATTAATGATTTCTGATTCCAAATTCCGATTTTAAGATCAACCATAAGCCATGGAGAGCAACAGTCGTTTAAAAAAATTCTAATTCTAATATTAGTATCAACTATAAGCCAGGGAAAGCAAACACTAGTTTACAAAATTCAATTTTCTGAAGTAGTTCAGACTAAAAGGCAGAACTATCCACTAAACATGAAAAAAAAAAAAAAAAAAAACCTATATAAATCTATTGTCTATCTTGACCACGGGCCAAGATCAGAAGAGAATGAACATATTACCGAAGGAATTCCTTTGCATGCATTGCAAAACCAGTGAAGTTGTTCTTTGTCATTTTCATTCCCAGATGCAAGTTTCAAGCGAGTTTCTGCAAAAACAAACAAATAAAAATTATAACAGAGTTCAAAACAAGAAATAAACATTAAGTCCAGGATGGAGCTCCTTGGTTATAGAAAAAATGAAATTAGTTGTTCCTCGGATGTAGGTGAGTATTATTGAAGGCCAAGGCAACAGACATGGTACGAGATCAGAGTCATCCAAACCAACAAATGGATCTTTGAATTTGAAGGAGACTCTGATATCCAAAAGTCTCTTAATAGCATTTACCATGGAATAGATCATTGGGAGAAATAAATAGATTCAATCATTATACAAGTAACAAGTATAATGTTTCTACTACTTATGTAGTACCTACCCCTGCATTCACCCTATGAATTTTCTTTTGTAAATAATTCTTTAATGTTGTTGGATCCCAATGAATTTTCTTTTGTAAATAATTCTTTAATGTTGTTGGATCCCAATGATGCTGATACGGCTGAAAATGAATGGGAGTAGTACCCATATCACCATAGTATAGAAAATTTGCTCATTACAGAACTATGAAGTGAATGAATGCATCTTTCAGTGCCAAGATGGCAAAGATAGTCATAACTTACTTGCAGTGTTATCCACAATCATAATTGATGGATCAGAATGCTGTAGCTTTGTCTCCTCCAAATTGGCCCTCCACAATGGAACAACAATACGCGGTTGAGCATCCTATCGTTTACAAACAAGGATTACAACAACAAAATCATAACCTAAGATACCCTAGACCAATATTATTTGATCCAACCAATGTTTTAAAAGGCTAAAGGCGGCCTCGAGGCTTTTTCTCTTGAAAAGGCGAGGCGTAAGCCTCAATTTTAATTAAAAGAATTAAACAAATCCTAAATTTGTGTGGTCAAGTATTACCAAACATAATAGTTATATAAAATTATCAAAATATCCACCTGTTACTTGTCACTCAAAAAAAATTCTAAAAAAACATCATAACATCACTACTATTATCACCAATARAACTTACTTATTCTATAAATTGTTGTCTTCAATATTTTTAAAGTCTAGGTAGTAAAAGTAGTAATAGATTGAGTTGTTACAACTCCTGCTTAGGATTCCATAAAAAAAAACCTTGATATTTTTTAAGAATTGGAAAAATTAATAGTATTCTTGTAATCATTACACGAGGCGTATACTTTAAGCCTCAGTGCGTTTTCAAAGAGGAGTAAGCCTCTTCTATGCGAGGCGTAAGCCTCTTATAGTCCAAAGAAGGCGTAAGACTTGAGGCTTTATTGTACAAATATCACCTTTGTTCCATCACTATAGTTTTGCTTCTCTAAATTCCAATTGAAAATTGTCTTTTGAAATTCCCTTACTGTAGGATTCCCTCTCTTTGTAATTTCACAACATCAATAAAATTGTTTCTTTCTTTTAAAAAAAAACACATTATTGTAAAAATAGACGAAACGATAGGTTGCCAAGAACAAGAGACAACAGAAAATATAAATACGTATATCAGTTAAAGTACTATTTGAATCACATCCATTTATGCCTGGTGAGAACCTACTATATAATAAATGCTATGAAGAACCAGGGAATTCAGAGAGGATGAGTAGCAACACTTTCAGATAACCATAAATGACCAATACAAAAGAAAACTAAGATTTTCCAAATAAGTTGCATCAGAAGTTATGGTGGTCCCAACTCGAAGGGGGCACAATAAATTGTGGTGCAATATGAAAGCCACGGAAGTGACAAGAAAAGAATATTGTCCCAACATCATCTAAAATCCAGCAGTAGCCAAAAAAAATATATATATATATACAATTGACGCGATGATATTTTTTTTCATCCCTAGCATTTTCATGCAAAACTAGATGACTAAAAACGCATTGCAATGGACATATATAGGGGAAAAAGTAGTATACTAAAAGCTTTTAAATATTATATAAAATCCTAATATGCAGCACATACCTGTAGACTTGTGTATATAGCAAGCTCCAACTTGAAAGGCTTTGTAAGATTCCGCGCCCCACATGGTAAAATAACAGCCCAACTGCAATTGGAATTACATCAATCACAAGTATATAATTAAACGAGAAAAATATACTCAAAGTTCGAATAAAAAAGGAAGTTATAGTCAACCATGAAAATTTTATCTCAAAAAAATCAAGTCAAACAAATCATGTTGCTTACACAACTTATTGCATGGTATTTGAAAATGCATATATGGGCATAGAACTAAAGAAAGAACAAACTTCAATTCGAGATTACGGAAACAGAGTACTTACGCTTTCCTTGAGACCAATTGAGGAGCCAATACTTCCAAAAATCCTGGTCCATAGAACTCCCGCAACCAACCCGAGAACAAACAAATATGACTCTACAAACAAAAGATGAAACATAAGCTTTAATAATCGTCTTGAAACAACAAATTCAACCGAAAAAAAATGGTTTGTTATAATTTAAACAGAATTACAAGTTAAATGAACCTCGATTGTACGAACGACACTGCTGTGACCTTTTGCTCTAGCAACATCAAGAGCACTCTGACAATCATCATTCATGATCAATGGATTTGCTGGAAATTATGACAGAATTGCCAATTAATATCATGAAAACAGTGGATAATTTTTTAAAAAGTGACTTTTTCAAAATATTTTTCAACAAATATTGAAAGAAACATCGTGTTGGTATGAAGTAAGTACGACAAACCTCCATGAGAAAGAAGTAACTTGACATTATTTTCAAGACCTCTTTTAGCTGCATGATGTAAAGGAGTGCCAGCATGACGGCCTAGAATGCATTAAAAGGGTTAGCCTAATCAAGTGAATGGGTAAGTTGGGGGAAGAATAATTCAACACTGAAAGCAATACCAAAAATTCAATGAAAAAAGAGCATATTTGAAGTTCTGTTGCCGAGACACCCAGATAATCAAAATGTATAATATTAAACCAACGCATAAAACCAGTACAATATACTACCAATGCAACATAAAGAACAAAATTAGAAAGAAAACTACCAGGTCGATACGCGTTAACATTAGCACCAAGTTCTATCAGAGTTCTTGCGACGTTGTGAAGCTCGGGACTCATGCAGGCCACAATCAAAGGGGTCTTCGCCTCCTTATCAATCCACTATACAGATCAAAAAAGTAAGAACAGCATAACAAATGCAAATAATCATTACTTTTAGCAGAAAAGTAAAATTCAATAATTACCTCAAGGCCTGCACCCTCTCGGCAAAGGGATTTAATCCCTTCTATGTTGCCATAGCTTACTTGCTGGTAGAGCAGTTCATCTTTCGATTGCTGTTGCCCCATTCCAGTCGAACCCAGAAAAGATAATCGAATGAGCTTCCTAAAGATAACCGGGTCTGAAAGAAAAACCAGGAATTCGCCTAAAATCTCCCTGGAAACTTCAATTCAGAACCCTTTGCATCAATGGGAGCAACTCAAAACTCCCAGGCCTGAGAGAGCAGAACGTCGGAACCAAGTCAATTGAACATTTCAGATAAAATCGATCCCAGGACGTCGGGCCAAGAAGAATTAATAAAAACCAATCGTAGTTTTTGCCCAAAAATGAAAAAGAATAAAGAAAACGATGCTTACGATTGCTTCCAATTTCTTAACCGATAAGATTTCTGAACAAAGGAGAAACGCGAAAATCAAATAATTCAGACCTACAGGCCCTCCCTCGATGATACCCCTTACCTACCCTGTCCTGAGAATAGCGGCGAAATTAATTTCCGTCGAATTTCGTGCGATGTGTCGTTCCTGGATTTCTGACGAATCTTTCCAAAAACCAAAGAAGCTTCTGCGACGGAGACCGATTGTAGGGACACGAAAATATCGCAGTACTAGAGTGGATTATCAGTCATGTAAACGACATGTCGTCATACGGAATTAATCTTCTCCCTTTCATTGGCCATTTCGAAATCCCGTTGACTGAATCAATCAATACGACAAGTCGATTGGTTCCAACTGATAGTATTGTGAATGGGAACATCAAGTTGGGCCAGCGAAAGCCTAAGAAGGCCCACGGATGTACCACAATTTCTGCATTTTGTTGAATTTCTTCTGTACTAAACTTAGGCCACTAAAAATTTCGTCCTCTGCTTGGAATTTAGATTCTGTTTAGATTATTATTAATCGGTCCTCGACTTTTGCTAAAATGTAGTTCAGTGGACTTAAAAAAATGGATCCTCACATCTACTTTAAAAAAATGGGTCCTCAGCTTTTAATTTAGTTTCTATTTACATTATTATTTATGAAGTCTGAAAATCAATTAATTTAGTCTTTAAATTTTAAAGAAATAGTTTTAAATGGTCTGAATTATCCTACTATCTATAACCTTAATGAAAAATTGTAGATATATTAGATGATAACATCACAATTAATGCATCTGTCATCATAGTGTACATATATATATTTATTTATTTATATTTATATCTACTTACTTGTTCTCTTCTTCCTTCCCCCTTTTGAGTTGGACCGAACAATTTATATGAAATTTTTTTATGTCAATTCATGACTTAACACGTCAATTTGAATCTAGCTTATAGATTAAGACATTTATAAGTAGAAGGTAGAAATTCAAATCTTTCCAACCAATAGGTCACATGTTATATGCAAAAAGATTTCAATCTTTTTAACTTACAACCAGAGTTATTACCGTTGTTAAGTTAATTGTTTTGTTCAAGTTATATGCATATGGGATTTCATGTCAAAATCAATTGACAATGTAAGGAATAACACATATCTATTATAAACCTATGTAAGGATCCTTATCAATGTGTGGGATCTTTAACATTTTAAACTCAGTTTTAAATTCAATATTGATTAGAGTAACTGTTGTTAAGATTAATCACTAATCTTCTGTTATTACAATTGCTTGCTCTAATCAATTCAGATTAGCGTCTCACTTTTAAGATGAGTTTCTAATTTTATATAAAGCCCAAATGTTTATCTCATAAACTAAAAAGAAAGAGGGATCAATTACTGTGAAAGTAGTGTTTTAGCACTTTATGAACAAAGTCAATGTTCATGACTCGAACAATGGCCAGCTAGAAAGGAGAAGAGAGAAGGAAGGAAAGAAAAAACCAAATAAAATAAAAAGGGTTATTTTGCTTTGCCGAATGATCTGTAAAGCTAGAAAAAGAGGATGAGAATTGCCATTCCTTTTATGCTATTAAAAGTGG